TTGAACCCCCAGTGCTCTTGTTGTCAGTCTATTGTGTTCGTTCCTTGGTTTTTGTCTTCGTCCCAGTTTCACTTGTTTATTATTAGATATTTTATGTTATTATTTTTGCAGTGTTGTATTTTGGTTCCTTCACCGTTTTTATTGTATGGTAATTATGGTTTTCTATGCTTTAAAACATATGATTCGTACGTGTTGTTTTTAAAAGCATTGTTGTGTATTTCTTTGACTCTATGGAGGACACTAAAACGTCTTTATCTAAAAGCACAAAATAAATAAAAAATCATTGTTGTGGTCTGAATAGGGCTTTCTGCTTCGGCCTGGTTAGCGTGCCGTTTCCCCTGTGGCTCTTTGAAACCAAAAACCTGCTCTCTCTTCAGCTGCTTTCACTCATTTGCCAATTAAGCAGAGTTTATGGCTCTACTGTCTGTTCCCGTCAGAGAGTAACACTAGCCCCTCCGCCTCTGCCAAAAAAGTCTGCTCTGAAAGCTACGGCTGATTTGAGATCTCCACCGCTCGCACGCACCTTTGATACAAACTCAGAATATGCTGTAAAAGAACAGGGGTTGAAATAGGGCCAGTGTCGGCTTTTTTATTATTATTTATTTATTTAGAGCGACAGGGCCAGAGTATACTTCACATTAACCTCAAACAGAGAGATGCTTTGTACCATGTTATCGCCCAAGAGCTAATATCCACCTATAGTCCCTGAGCAGCTATAAATCAACATTAAAATAACAAGCGTACATGGATATACAGTTTACATCGGCCAAAATACATTAAAGTCTCACATTCATATTGGTCATTTTTGCAGGTGTAACACACATACAGTACACTCACAAAGCACACAGCCCCTTCCCACACACACACACACTCTCTCTCTCTCTCACATATACACACACACAAGTACACAAGTAAGATTTAATGTTGCGTGTTGTTGTGTGGAGAGGCAGCAGCGATCGAACCTGTAACCTGGTTAATTTCGGAGCTATTTCCGATTGAACAAAACAGAACAAAACCTTTTTATATGACTTGTAACAATGTGCGTGAGAACAGAGACGTCATCACTTAAGATCATGTTAATGACGCCGATGCTTCCAATATGATACTAGTAACAATGTATTAAAACAGAGACGTTCAATTCTTCTGATTCATTCTTCAGATAAGTTTAGTAAGTAGTAGTAGTAAGTAGTGTTTATTTATATAACATATTTTACAGGCCAAGGTCTCAATTAATCTCACCTTAACCACAAGGCAGCTCAAAGTGCTTAATGAAAATAACATCACATACATTCAAAAGAGGGAAGATACAATCCTTCAGTCGTATGCACAGCTAAACAGAACTGTCTTTAACCTGGATTTGAACATTGTCAAAGTAGAAGCCTGTCTCACATTTTCAGGAAGACTGTTCCAGATTTTAGCTACATACATCTGAAACGCAACCTCCCCATGTTTAGTCCTGACTCTGGAGGGCTCTAGAGACCAGTCCCTGTGCTCCTCCAGGTCTGAATTTGATCATATGGCACTAACATGTCACAGATGTATTTGGGTGCAAGGCCATGGTTTAGTCATTTTCAGGACTATACATTTAATCTGCCAGTCCAGTCTTACTGTCGAAAATCAGGACAGACTATGACATCCGGATATGCATTAAAGAGTACAAGCTTACGTCACACATCGCGTCACATGAAAAGATGCTATTACAGTCATAACAGGTGAAAAGTCTCCATGACCTGTTCAGTTCAATGTTATGTCTGCGTTTGTGCACTGGGTGAAGGATCGTTCATACTAGTAGTAGTAGTACATTGGTTTTTTCTTATTTCAGTTGAGGGCTTTCTGAAAATACAGTCCATTCAGTGTGTTGTATTGCAAATGTTTGTATTGTATTATATGTGTTGTGTTTGTGTATGTTCTTGGGAGCCTCTCGAAAATCAGATGCTGCATATTCCCCTAAATAAAATTTTAAAAATCAAACACCTCCCAGAGAGGCATCAAGGAGGCATCCCATCAGATGCCCGAGCCACCTCAACTGGCTCCTCTTGATGTGGAGAAGCTCTTTACCCGCAGAGTGGCAAACTCATATGGACAATTTTGACCACCATAGTCCAGTGTGGTTTTTTGTTTGGACATTTTCTTGCATACTTTATTTGTATGTATGTACTTTTATGTATGACCATGTACTTTCATACATGGTCTTATCATGCAGTGAAAAGCTGGTTATTAAGGTGGTTCCAGGTCCGAAAAATACCCCCTCCATCACTTCACCACAGTATCTGGCTAATTAAGATGGACACTGTACTTGGCCCGACAAAGCCCTGGTCTTTTCACATGTAAATCTCTCCATTGTTTGTAAAAGTGGGATTATATTTCTACTGCAGATGAAGACTCCCCTTTGTTTGGTCGAATGCCTCTTTAAAGGATTTAGGGCCATTTTAGGGTCATTGTTTTGTGGATGTTTATTTTAGCAGCAGTCGAGATAAGAAAATGCCCCCCACAAATGGAGTGACAATTGAAAATGCAGAGGCATTTTTTACAGTCTGTCGTGTTTATTCAAAATTAACCCAAAATTACCACAGTATTGTTGAGAAAGACATAAAAAATTCAACTAATTACTAATGTAATTAGTTAATAAAGTTAATAAATTAGAAAAACACACACAATAACACAGGTCCAGGAGAAGCAAAGACAAAATACTAAATATGGACATTTGTTTAAAAAAATCAAATGTTCTTTTTGAACAAACATATATTGTATCGTAAAATAGTTCCATATGTTGACTACTTTCTTTGGTGCCCACATTCTCCACCAAAATATGTTGAACAACCAGATGGAGGCAGCGATCTCATGCACTAATAACCTGGAAGTTCAATTCCCATTTTTTTCCAGACAGAGCCCTTTATACGACAATGTGCATCAGAACAAAAAGACCTTTGAGATAATTAGTCAAAACAATATTGATATGACCAAGGCATCTGTGGCCTTAGATTCTTTTAATCTGATTCATTGAATATTCCCCATGTTTGTGAAGAAAATGACTAAGTCTGGTTCCAAGTCCAAAACATGGAGGTCAGGAGGTCAGGATAAGGGAAGAAAGTGACAAATGATGCAGAGCTCCGGGATTGTGTCTCAGCAGAAGACGTGTTTTATTGTTGGTTCACGGCATAAACGACACAACCAGAGTTCCACAGCGTTCACATGGTTTTATACCAAGACAAAAACACAGACGCTGAGGGGAAAAGAAAATCAGGTGGAAAAGTACCGTTGCAAGTCTTTATCAAAGCTTCTCAAAGTTCTAAGTTATCTTTATGGTCCCACTGGGGGATATTGGTTTTACAGTAAGCAAACATTTAAAAACAGGTAAAATCACAGTCACATTGAAGATCGCAAGAGCAACAGGATGTAGTGTCAGAAAGATAGTTTAAAGTGCTGTATGCTGTAAAGTGCTATAGTTAGCATAAAGTGCTAAGTGCCATTAAGATGCTTCACAGCTAATATCATAGGGTTAAAGGCCTTTTTTACAGTCCTGATTTAGAAATAGAATCCTAAAACATGGAATCGTTGTAGTTTTAGCGCTGAGGTTACGTCTCTCACCACCGCACTCATGGAGCCCTCTGCATTTTTCAGCTCATCAATGATCCTGATTGTTGCGTCGCCCGGAGGCTCGTGACTTTAGACCTCGATATGATCAAAGTGGTTTCAACAGAGAAGCCTTCAGTCTGAGGCAAAACAGCTCACTCTGGGAAACCACTCTCTCATCCAACCATTTGGTAAAAATGATCATTATGCAATTACAAGACGAAATGAAAGTATTTGAGGAAAGTGATTTGTAGTTTGAGGATTTCGTCAGATTGGCTTTTTGTGTGGAAAAAGAGGACCGGCCCACACTCGGCCAATCAGGTCTCAGTATGCTAAAGATCAAATGCTTTCTCAATAGAAGACTGCATGTTGTAATTTGTTCACTATGTTTCAGGACTCTTTCTGTTGGGACAAAAACCTATATTCTTGAAACAAATGTTACACACCACAGCTTTAAATGACATGAGGTGTTTTAATACTCTTTTTTTGTGGCATGATGCAACATTTGACCAAAGAGGAGACCAAAAAATCCAAGAGTTCAAATAAATAACATGTTATTCTCCATAAAAATACTAATACAAAACTCTTGAGCTCCTATTTCCTGACTATCCCTTTGAGCTGAGCCAAAGAACTGTCCCTCCAGGCCTGAAAACCAATAGAGGATTCCCAGGTACTCTGCAAAGTCCTCCTGCCGTCCCTGGCTCAGACCGAATGTTGTTTTGTAAAAAAGTGTAGAAGAAGAGGAAGGGCCGCCGAAGACATAATCTTTGTTCCATACAGGATAAAACCGGAGAGTCTGGTCTGGGTCTGGTCTGGTCCGGTCTCATCTTCTTCTCTGTTGAGATAAGGGAGACTCCCTCTCTGAAAAGAGCACTTCAAGGCTGTCCATTGTTTTGCACTGAGCTCATTGACCTCAGGCTAATAGGAAAACACATGATATAAAAACACTTTAACGGAAACTGTGGAAGATGAACCACACAGAAACGGGATTGTGGCACACGATCCTTCAGGTTTCAGTTGTTTCAGTTTTTGTCATTTTTTTCAGACAGAACAAAGTCAGGACATGGTTTTTTTAGTCACAGATATGTCACACATAGAAAGACACATACATGATGTCGCATTCAGAGACAATCAGAAAATATCAGAGTCATAACATGGATACACAATGGGACCTTGTGACTGTGAGAGCCAGATATTTTGTCTTGCGTTTGTTCTACATAGGCCATAGTTATCTATCCACCATAAAACACTTCATGATTGAATAAAGAATTTCATAGTTATTATAGATGTTGATACACTGAGTGATTTATATATTTTTTACTTATTTTGTGAAGCATTTTGAGTTGCCTTGTGTACAAACTTTGCTATACATATAAATACATATAAACTTGCCTTGCCAGACCTAACGGTGATATTGTCTCCTACAGTCACGCTTCCCGGTGCGCTCCTGGCTCCGGTCTCCTCCTCGCTCACCACTCGCCGCTCGTCACTCAGCTCATCCCTCATGCAGACCTCCTACCGCCTCCCTCACCCCCTCCCCCCTCTGCCCGTGCGGAAGGGGGTCCGGGGCCGCAGACCCAAGTCCCAGACGCTGGCGCTCCTCAAGGCCGCGGCCGAAGCAGCGGCAGCAGAGGCGGCCTCCAGCAGCCCCTCCAGGACCAGCCCCGCAGAGCTCATACTGGCCCCCCGACCCCACAAGAAGAGGGGTCCCAAGCCCGGCAGCAAGGTCTGAGTTATATGTTATGTTGGATCTGGGAATGTGTGTGTGTGCGTGTGTGTGTGTGAATGTGTGTGGCTCCCGGCGAACAAGGTGATAAAGAGCAGGGGAGGACAGGGAGGGAAGGAAATGCCTTATGTCCAGACAAGAGTACAGGAAGGGCCAAGTTTAGGTTCTACTTGTCACGGTTTGATTAGTTACAACCATAGACTGTGTATAGAGGGACAATACTAATCAGCGAGCTCAATGGAGCCCAATGGGGAAGTGCTCATGGATGAAGTTTGGCTCCTACTCGCTCTGGGTCCTGATGACTTACACTGAAAACTAAACTTCTTAAACTCAGTAACCGTTTTTGTCACATTGGCCATTTAGGGCTTATACAAATATCGTGTTGTTGTTTTTGTGAATCCAGATATGAGCCAAATGTATTGCCCTCGTAAGTAACAGGAAGCCACAAACTTGGAATTTGGTTTAGTATAAGGTGCAAACAAGTTAGAAAATGAGTAAAAGATGGATATTACGGCATGCATAAAATAATCTTAAATGATCTATTATATAAATACACACAGTGGACATGTAGGGATTGCCAATGGGTTGCCTTCGCTCATGGGAACACCCGGGAGTCCACTCCTATAATATGGTCTATTGTTAAAACATTTCCTAATGCTTAAAACAAGGATAATACATTGTATTTTATCTTCATGATAACTATCATAATGCATGTTATTTGTAATAGTGCTTTTCATGACACCCAAAAACCCTTCCAATCGATCAATATGGAAATATACCAGAGGATTTTGTCTCACAAATGATTCCCCATGGGCTGTCTTTATCAGTATACAGATTTTAAGCCCTTAATAATACTAAAAATCATCATCATAATAATCATAATAATCATAATAATAACCTTTATTTTAGAATCTAATTAAATTGGTCCAGTTCCACAGAGAGCAGTGTGGACCAGACATTAGAGATGAAGTACAATAATATTTCTGTATTTAGGGCAAAATGTAGACAGTTTATATAAATAATTACAGTATTTGTGATCTATTAATTGATATTGTAATGACTGAACCAGGGCTGAATGACTCACCCCTGCACATTTATTAACGTGTGTTTGTGTCTGTGCAGCGGAAGCCTCGTCTGGTCCAGTCCTCGGGGTCTTCCCCAGTGTCTCCTGCTCCATCAGAGACCAGACTCTCCACAGACAGTAACCACAGCAACGGTTCCAATGTCGTCTGCACAGGTAAATATGTCTGAACAAAGCTCTGCTCGTAGTGAATGAATACTAACGACCTGTTTACACTCCTTCATTAAAGACTATTAGAAGAGTTAGATGTTTGGAACAGTCTGGATGCCACATAAAAAAAGTGAAAGCATTCAAAAGAAAATTCTAATTTAAAGTAATAAACAGATGTGAAGAACTAGAACATAATCATATCCAAACTCTCCTATTTTAAAGTTGTTTTTTTTTGAGCGCAACCTATTGTGGAAATGTGTATGTGACAATTATTGTGAATATACTTTGTAAAAAAAAAAAAAAAACTATCATTTTGCTGGTGGTTAAACGGCTGTATGCTTTAAATTATAATTATAATCAGGCCCTACACATACGAAAGGTCACACCTTAGATCTAGTTTTCTCTCTTGGTCTGCAGCTTGATAATGTGAGCATTGATCTCAGTGACCATTGTGGTGTATTTTTTGATATGCTGTTAATGTATGACCCTCGCCCTCTGCCCACTAAAGCAGAACGAAGGATTATCTCTGAGATGACGGCAGTAAGGTTCTGTGACAGTTTTGACCCCACTGCTTTTGAAGACTGCACTGAAACAGAGGCACTGTTTCACTCTTTTAACAGTCACTGTGCCTCTGTATTGGACGAAGTAGCCCCTTTTAAAACAAATATTCTGGACCGTCCACAGCCCTGTCCCTGGATTAACGACGCCATTGGGAATCTGAGGAGAATGTGCCGTAAAACTGAACGCCTGTGGCATTCAACCAGGCTGGAGGTCCATAGACTTCATTTAAGGGACCTTGTGTCCTCCCTGAACGTTTGTCTGGATGAGGCCAGATCTAGTTATTTTAGTAAACTGATTGTCTCCAACAAGAGAAATCCGAAAGTGCTCTTTGACACAATCAGTTCTCTCGTCTCTCCTCCTGTTTCTGCTGTTGCTGTGCAGTGCAGGGCCAGCTGCAATGAGTTCCTGACTTTCTTTGTCAACAAAGTCAGAAACATAAAGGCTAAACTCCCCTGTTCCCCTCCTTACAGTCAGGCCCAGCCTGACCCACCTCCTCACAGTTGGTCGTCTTTTAAGGAAGTCACCCAAGAGGACTTTCTATCTACAGTGAAGAACATGAAAGTAACCCCTTGTTGCCTCGATCTTGTCCCGGCCCGACTGCTTGTCAATGTTTTGGAATCGGTTGCTCGGTTAATTGTCAAAATGTTTAACCTTTCACTGTCGGCTGGTGTGTTCCCGGGCTCCCTTAAACACGCTGTTGTGGAACCTCACTTAAAGAAATCGCGCTTGGATCCAGCAGACCTACAGAACTTCAGGCCTATCTCTAAGATTCCATTCTTGGCCAAAGTTCTGGAAAACGTCGCCTCTAGCCAACTTACAGCATTCTTGGAGGCTAACAACATTTTCGACACTTTTCAGTCTGGTTTCAGGAAATTTCACTCGACTGAAACGGCACTGTTAAAAGTGTCCAGTGACATTATGATGGCTGCCGACGCTGGTAAATGCTCCGTCCTGGTCCTCATAGACCAGTCGTCTGCGTTCGACACAGTAGACCAGTAGACTCTGTTTGAGAGACTACGGGATGTGGTCGGCATGTCAGGCCCTGTGTTAGAGTGGTTTAGATCATACCTGACTGGTAGAACTTTCTGTGTGTCCTCTAACAACACGATGTCAGAACTAGGGGTGGGAACCTAAGGGTACCTCACGATACGATACGATACACGATACAAAGCTCACGATAACGATAATATCACAATAACGATATTACAATAACGATTTTATCACGATATGACGATTATTGATATATTGGTCAGAAATATACAATATGCCAATTTATGGCATACATAAAAGAAAAAATACTCTTTATTTAATGATAAATATAATGGAGATGCGTAATGTAGCCATATATTAAGTATTGATACCAATAAAAAAAGTAAAAGTATTTTTTTTGTTTTCAAAATCGATATTGATACTTCACAAATGCATATCAATAATCGAATCGCGGGAGAAAGTATCGCGATATATTGAAAAATCGATATATCGTCACACCCCTAGTCAGAACCAGCTGACCTGCAGTCTGGTGTACCCCAGGGCTCAGTTCTTGGGCCTATTCTATTTTTGATTTACTTGCTCCCTTTAGGCGAGCTGATCCAGCAGTTCAGTGACATTTCTTACCATCTGATGCTGATGAACTGTACTGCTCGTTTAAGTCTTCCGAGCCCCAGAAGCTGGCTTCTCTTACAAACTGCTTGTCCAAAATTAAGCTATGGCTCAGTGAGAATAGCCTCCAGCTGAACTCCAGCAAAACTGAAACCCTGGTTATCGCTCCGAACACTATTGTCCCACTTATTACCCAGCATCTCGGCGGCTTGGGTAGCGCCGTGAAGAAAAGCCCGAGAAACCTCGGTGTAATTTTTGATAAAGGGATGTCCCTAGAGCGACATATTAATCAGCTGGTAAAAAACTGTAATTTTCATCTGCGCAACATCTCCAAGCTCAGACACATGATCTCGAGTCAAGAGCTTGAGACGATTATTCATGCTTTTGTGTCCTCGCGACTGGACTACTGCAACAGCCTTCTGATATGCCTCAGTAAAAAAGGCTTGGCTCGTTTGCAAGTAGTCCAAAATTCTGCAGCGAGGCTCTTGATCCGCACCCACAGGAGAGCCCACATTTCCCCCATTTTGAAGGCTCTACATTGGCTCCCTGTCGCTTATAGAGTCAATTTTAAAATCCTGGTTCTGACGTTCAGGGCTCTTCATGGCCAGGCTCCTGATTATATAAAGGACCTGATCCAGCCTTATACCTCTAACAGGAGCCTGAGGTCCTCCACGCAGAACCTACTGATGGTCCCCCGAACCTGGTTTTAAAACCAGAGGTCCCTGCGTGTCCTGGAGTCTGTGGATATCTTCAAGAGTCAGCTCAAGACGCACTTATTTAGACAGGCCTTTTAGATCTTGATGTTTATGTACTTTGTACAACTTGTTTTACTGCATAGTTTTTTACTCTGTGCTCTATATGTATGTATTGATCTTGCTTTCAATGTGAAGCGCTTTGTGACCCTGGTTTGAGAAAGGCGCTATATAAATAAATTTTACTTACTTACTTACTTAATTATCATTTTATTTTTCTATTTTATTTTAGTGTAGCGTCATTGTCGACTTGTGCCGTGTGCTCCTCATTCCTATTGTTGTGTATCTGGCGATGCAACACTGAAATGTCCCCAAAGTTTTACGATTAAAGGATCTCTTAGGCCCTGTCCACACGAAGTCAAGCTCAGGCCTAAACGCAAAAATACTTTATCAATCCAGTGTATCGTCCATACGAGGCCGGCGTTTTGGGGGGGTGTAAACGAACATTTTTGAAACTAGGTCCCAGAGTGGAAAGATTTCAAAACTCCGTATATGCCGCTCCGTGGTTACTGCCTCTCCGCAATGTATCTGAGACGCTTGCGTCATCGCCCCGCCTCTTGTTAAAGCACGCATGCGCCGCACTCAGAAAATAATGACAACAACAAGGTAGCTTGTTGGTTTTGTAATCCAGTGCGACCCGAAGCAACAGTTCAACCTCATCGTCCGTCCATACTAATGTAGTACCAGCTCGCCCACTCGCCATGTTGTCTGTTTACAAAATTCTGCGCATGCCCAGTTCCCGTCACGGAAGTTTGGGCTTGATCCCGTCATTGCGTCACAGCGCCACCAACAGGTCTGGCATAGTTTCACAGCGTTTTCAGGCGTATTGACTACATTCATATGGACGCACACATTTACTGAGCTAACTCCGTGTTTACAGAAAAAGCTTCTGAAATTATAAGCGTTTTGTCTTCGTGTGGATATAGCCTTAATCTGAATCCTTCTTGTCGCTTGTCTCTCAGTGTGTGTGTATGTGAACAAACACGGAGACTACGGCCCAAACCTGGATCGTAAACTGGTGCAGCAGCTCCCGGACCACTTCGGCCCGGCTCCGGTGAATTCTGTGCTGCAGCAGGCGGTCCAGGCCTGTGTGGACTGCACCTTCCAGCCCTCGGCCCTGCTCAACTTCCTCCAGAGCCAGTCCCACAGCGGAGGAGAGGTCATCCGAGGTACGTCTGAGACCAGAACCAAAACACCGGATACTAGAGCTGACTTTCAAATAACAAATAATGGAACCATGTTGTAAAGTCCACGCCACTAGTTCCTGGTTCCTAAAACAGTTTGTTTCAATTACTAGTTTTCACGTGTGCATTTTAGCCTCCATCAAATCATGAAAGTGAAAATACCACCCAAATTCTAATACTGAGGGCCAGTATTAGCTCAGGGCTACTGACCCTCAGGGCTCTTCTTACGAGTATGCAACATAAAACATGCTTCCTAATAAGATCATCTCACTTTTTAGATGAATCAATCTAAGTTTATTTGTATAGCACAATTTGTACACAGGGCAATCCAAATGACCTAAAAAAACATGTATAAACATTCACAAATGTAAAGTAATCCAGTGCCCCACTGTGTCTTGCACAGCACACAACAGTTACACAACAGTAGGAATGACGAGCACAAAACACAAGATAAGTATTAAGTATAGCACAACTCTAAACCAATAAAATAAAATAAAAATGTCTACCCTCATTATAAAATGTCTTTCTATACTAAATAAGTTCTTATTTACTTCTTACATTTTCAGGAAGACTTTTCCAGATTTTAACGGCATGAATCTGAAAGGCTGACTCCACATGTTTAATTCTGACTCTGGGCACCAGCAGGAGGCCAGTCCCTGTGCTCCCCAGAGTCTCAGTGGGTTCATTTGGCACTATGTCACAGATGCCATGTTCACAAGCAGAGCTGCTTTAAAGTCTATTCTCTGAGCCGCATGAAGCCAGTGCAGAGACCTGAGGACTGGACTAGTGCTTTAAAAAAGCTTCCCCTAAAGTTTCCCTCAGAGGTGAAGCCTGGAGCAGCAGCTGACAGTCTGTCCTCACTGCAGGGTCTGGGTTTCTGGGAAAGGCTCTCCCCTGGGTACAGGGCACTCTGGGGCGCAGACTAGAACCTTAATCCGTGGACTGGGAAGCTTGGCTTGGGAGGGAGAGAGGCAGTTTGGGTAATGGGTGTATGAAAAGGGGGGGAATGAACCCCAAAACATCTGCTATTTTTCTCTTCAGTTAAGTCTCCATCCGTGCTGAAAACTGACATTAGTGTTACTTTTATATTGAACTGAATTGAATATTTATTTGATCAGGGACAATGCACAAGAGTTTAAACAAGTAGTCCCTGTACAGGTTGAAGAAATGATTACAGTAAAACGACTGGTTTTCAGCATTATTCAATTTAAGATCAAAACATTACTAAAACACACACATGCCCGCTCACACGCTCACACACAACTCGCTAACTCTCACACAAACGCTCACACACACACACTCAGTTTGTAAAGGGTTTGGTGTGAGAGAACAATATTTGTATTCTGTTTTTTACTATTGCACAAATGTAGAAATTAGGGGAACATAGCCAGAATCTGGAACAGTCTTCCTGAAAGTGTGAGACAGGTTTCTACTCTACCAGGTTTAAAACAGTTCTGTTTAGCTCTGCATTCAGCTGAAGGATTTTATCTTGTGCCTGTCTCTCTCTTGTTTTGTTAAGCACTTTGAGTTGCCTTGTTTATGAACTGTGCTATACAGATAAACTTGCCTTGCCTAACGCTCTACACCCCTTCTCCATATACTGTACTTTCTTCAATAGTATGAATCTCCTATTGATCGGATAAAGAGCAAATTCACACACGTGTCCTGTTAATAGTCTTTTCATCTCCGCTGTATATTTTTCCGGGTGTATCCAGTTCGGTCGGACCACGGCATCCGGTACGTGAAGCTGCCGTCTGTGTCCAGCGCCTCGTCCGTGCTGCGCTTCTTGGAAAACCTCTGCTCACATCTGCAGAGCGACAGCATGTTCAGCTCGCAGCCCTTCAGCCCCTTCACCAACACCAACACCGTGCGCTACTATGAGAGGAGCAAATCAGGTACCACCAGCACCAAATGGGGTTTCTGGAAGCTATATGAGAGTTGATGAAATACAAGTTCACATTTAGTATTTTTTGCTGAAAGCCCAGAGGGATGCAGTAGGTACAAATCATCACCCAGAGAAACAGCAGCATGAGGAGTAGGTGTGTGAAAAGATGTGTAAAAAATATTGTTGCCGGAATATGTATTTGAGACCAATCTAAATGTGAACACTCTTTTCTGTGTTTCTCACTTTTTGAGCAGTGGCACACCTTTTTCATTTAAAACAATCACATGGCACACCACCAGCTGAAACTGATACCAACATGTACAGTAACTCTGCAGAAAACACAAAACAACGTAATTCTCATCAAAGTGTATAAAACAGACGATCCAAGAAGTGCAAAGAAATATTTCTAATCTTCCAATTATTTTATTTTATTTCTCATTATTTTGACCAAGTAGGTGATATGGGATTATTTCCCAAGGCACATCAAATAACATTTCAAACGTGCCACGGCACACTGGTGGAAAAATACTGCTCTAAGTAACAAATAACTTCACTCTTTCTAAAGTTGTTGATTAAGAGTATAGGCCATAGTATAGAGTCCTGGATCTACAGCCGCGGTCCTCATTCTACAGCCTGAGTCCTGGACCTATATCCTGTCAGTTTGTGAGAGCAGATCCCTCTCTCAATATGGGCCTCAGCACAGTACAAGAAAATTTTTTGTAGTTGTGCATCTTACCAGAAGTGCAATAGCTCAGGCATAGGATATTATTTCCAACAAAGATGAATATTTGTGCATAAACTGTGCATGTGAGACTGTACAAAGCACTTTAATGTTTCATGTCCTCTTTGTCCCAAACAGAAAACGGTCTCTCCAGTGACTCCTCGAAGGAGACGCGACCTCAGCACAACGCCAGCGCTGATTATCGAGTGGCAAAGAAAGAGCGAGTGTTTTACCCGCAGCTCCCGGCGCCCCCCGCTCCCCCGCTGCGGCGCGTCACCTCCCACCCCTCGGACATCGCCCCAGTGCACAGGAGAGTGGAAGGTGAGACTTTACACATGTCACTCCAAGATGATTTTAGTCACAGCAATTTTTCTCTTAATCATCATTATCTTAATCATCAGAAGACTGTTTATCCAAACTTTTCAACATTTACAATTTGCATTTTTTAGCATGGTCTAACTTTATTCCCCATTTCTCAAGGTTGTAAGCTACATTACTTCTGCTAATAATACTGGACTTATTTAGGTCTGTCTTCTCAGAGTGATGTTAATTTGACTCTTGTATTATTATTATCATTGTGTATTTATTGCTCATAAGTAAGTAAAGTTTATTTGTATAGCGCCTTTCACAGACCAGGATCACAAAGCGCTTCAAACTATGACCATATCATCCCAATATATTTGGTATGGAGCACAAAATACAGAACAAAACAAAACAGCAAAGCAATACTTCTGACTGACCATGGCCTTGAGGTTGAAAATAGCTCCTGGTCAGTAGAAAAATATATTGTTGTACATTCAACAAGCGGCTGGTTCTGGTTCTGAGCCGAGTCAGCTTGGGTTTCCACCAGAGAAGAGAGAAGTTCTAGTTACCATAGCAACACACTGTTTGCTTGTAGCAGTTAGCATTTGGTCTTTAGCATTAGCCTCAGAATTCCATTGCTGGGAGTTCTGGTAGTTTCAGAATTGTTATTAAAAATAAGTTGTCAAGTGCTTGAAGATTGTTGTTTTCTTTTCTTTTCAATGGAACATGTCTAAAATGCCCTGTTTTAAAAATATAAAATTTTCCAAATCAAAATAAACTTTAAAGAAATTATGAATGTGGTCATTTTACGCAGTTTGTGATGTGTTTTATTACATAATTGATTTGTGTTATGTGTTTGCAGCTCCCAGCTCCACCACAGACGCAGACCACATGAAGCAGGACGCAGAGATCCCGGGGAACGACGCCTCCTGCTGGACAGTGGATGAAGTGGTCCGGTTTGTCCAAGAGGCAGATCCACTCACACTAGGGCCTCATGTGGATCTGTTTAGGAAACACGTGAGTTTTCTCTCTACATGTTTACTGTATGTGGTGGGAGAATAAGACCTGTTTATGAACGATACTTTTAAACAGAAGTACAGTGTCTGGGTCTAACTAAAAAGACAGTGGTGATGATCCAGGACACTCAACATTCAACAACAATGGACATTCAACAACAATGGACATTTATCAACGTTTTCTGATCAGTGTTGGCGAAGTCAACGGATCCGAGATAACTAATGTTGTGATTTAGGGTCATACAAGAATAAATTAAATTGAATTGAAATAAAGTACATATAGTGGCTCAGTTGGTAAAGCATTGACCTTTGAAAGTTGTGTGTTCGAGCCCACCACAAGACCTTCTCCACCGTCTCCCACTGACTTCTGCTGTCGTTGTGTCTTTGGGCAAGACACTTAACCCCACTTATGCCTATATTGACTTGATGCGTTTCATTTGTATATGTATTCATCGAACTGAAATTTCCCTACTGAGCGGCACGGTGGCTGAGTGGTTAGCACTCTTGCTTCTCAGCAAGAAGGTCCTGGGTTTGAATCCTGGTCGGAACAGTGCCTTTCTGAGTGGAGTTTGCATGTTCTCCCTGTGTCTGCGTAGGTTTCCCCTACCACTAAAAAAACATGTACAATAGGTCTGGCATGCCTGTACTGGCGATCTCTCTCCCATCTCTGTGTGGAGTGAGAGACAAATGCAATTGTAAACCGCTTTGTGACTCTGGTTTGTGAAAGGCGCTATATAAATAAAGATGACATACTTACTCACTGTGGGATGAAGAAAGGACTTTATTTTTCTTCTAGAAAATTTCACAAAGTTAGAAAAAAATGAGTACTTACACTTCCAAAACTAACCAACTAAATCAACTGCTCTAAAAAAGATTTCAGTAGTTTAATGATAATATGAATGTTTTCTCAGGAGATTGACGGCAAGGCTCTGTTGCTGCTGCGGAGCGATGTCATCATGAAGTACATGGGACTGAAGCTGGGACCCGCCCTCAAACTGTGTCACCACATCGAGAAGCTAAAACACTCCAGACCGTAACCAGGAAAGACAAAAGACCATCGGACAGTATTCATTCACTACAGACACTATATAACCTCAACTTCACTCAACCATAACGGAGCATGACGTCTGGAGAAACTAGCACATGTTTTATATTTTTGAACCGCAGACGACTGGAGGATTTATTTATTTACCTTTAGTTTAACCTCAGACAGAAGTACATCTATTGTTACGACTTCAGATATGGATGCATTGATGGTATTGGATTTGAAGATGGATTTCCTGATGGATCCTACAGCACAATCTAGTCCATCCACATCCAAACTTTGATGACGTTTTGAAGCAGGATTTCCATAACTATAATAAGTGTTCTCAAAGTCATGTACAAGCCTTTGACCACAACGATTTTTTATTGTCTTTTGTTGTGCCTGCTTCGTCCCAAAACTAGGGAAGGACTCTGAAGTCTCGTCTGTGCTTACTGCAAATTACAGTATAGTTTTGTTGAATATTGCAATAAAAAAAGTGTATTTTGTGAGTGAATATGCAAAACGTTCACAGTTTTAGATCACTAAATCAAAAATGTAAGGTTATTGTTTGCATTATCTGTCACTGCTGATACAAGTTTAATACAACTGGTTTTGTTTCTGAGGTTTATATTAGATGGAGCCAAATTCAAGGCCAAACTACTTAAAACATGACAAAAAGTCTTTGAATTTGGGTGATTGTGGCAGGACATTACTTATAGAGCGACTAAACACCAAATCAACTTTTTTTTAACTCGAAAACTGCATAAATATGTTTATTGTAGTGCTCTCTTCATATACTGGTCATTTCTTACAATCTCACTTTTGAGCTTAAAGTGGTTCTCACCCCCGCTCCTCGGAGCTTACGTCACTCACATTTCCTGTTCAAATCTTCCTCTAAATGGGCGTAGCCTGGAGGACTAAAGGGGGCGTGAACGAGACTGGGCCGTTTACATTGCTCTGGGCGGGGGGCTGCTGACGTCAGGTCTTGCTTCAGACGTCAGGTCTTGATGCCGCGCCAGTGTTGGCGCCAGATTCAAAATTCAAATGTAGTAATACAAGTCGCCAGCAGATGGCGCCTCACAGACGGTTTTAGGCAGAAAGTTTAACTTTCAACTAATTTGCACCAAAGTGACAAGATTATGACCAGGATATGTAGACAACACTATTGGACACTCATTTATACCGTTAATCAGCAAAAAAAAAGTGGATTTGAGGGTGAGTTGTCCTTTAAAAACGTCTGTGTGGCGCCCTCTCTGCCTTATCGGTGGTACTGCATTTGAATTTGGTCCTGGCACACGCCCCAGCAGCAGGTTGGAGTATTCTGGCGCCATCTAGTGGATTAAAATTAAATTACATGAGTTGACAACCACTGCTGCTGAGATAATTCAGTGACTAATGTTCAGGTGTGTAGCTCTACAATTATCTTAGTGTGTAAACAAAGGTGGAATGAGATTTTCTGGTCCGTAAACTATTGCTTAAAGCAGCAATGACAACTGTCTGTTTTTTTTGTTTTTTTTTTATGACAAGTGAGCTGTCAATCACAGCCCAGACCACGCCCAACTCTAAGCCCCAATTCTTGTCCCTTGGTCCTCCAGGCAACGCCCTTTTCAAATGTTCATGTGGGCGGAGTAAGGCTGGTCACAGGTGTTTAGTCGCTCTTTAAAGGAACACAGGAGGATTTTCCCAAATTTTAAGAAAGAACCACCCTCTACACTTAAAAAAAAAAACTCTGGTCTTGTTTGACGAGCTCCAGAATGATTGACAATTAGGAGGACCAATAGTCTGGACGATCCACCCGGAAGTAGAACATCCTCCTATATATATTTAACAAAACCATTTGCCAGCAGAACTGGGCTTAGCTTTTGGAAAGACCTTTTATTATTTCCCTCTCAGTCAATTCTTAAAATTTCAGTGCTTAAACAGAGAATGGTAAAGAAAACAGCAATAATATTTGTTATTGTAAAATTAAGACAAACCATATGTCAACCCAAAGTAATTGAATATGAAAATCCAGTTTCCAGGTTGTGGTTGGAATAGTTGGAAGATGATTGGGTCCTAAAATATCTATATTTGTGCATAAAAACAACAATGAGCATAATACGTTTTCTGCTGATGGTGTCTTTCCATTGTCTCAAAACAGTAGAAGACTCAATAGATCTTAAATGTGACTTAACAAAACTGGATATACACATTTTAGATCAGGGGTGTCCAAACTGCCGCGAACACAAAGTAGCCATTGAGGCCCTTTCACAGTGTCATCCAGCCAACTTCAGCTCCACCTATATAATCATGCTGTAGCTTGCTGTGAAGCTCTTTTGAAGTATGCCATTTGTTTTTGTGGTAAAAGCGCTAATGTAGCTGCGATGTGAATCAACACAGAATAAATTAAAGCCCGGAACAGGCCGAATCCAACAGTTTTACGATCCATGGTTTCGGCCCCTTGGACAAATCTGGTGAACTAAGACCTTACCTCTTACTACAATGTTTGACTTCAATATTACTCGTCTTCCTCAGGATCCTAATGTTTTATTTTAATACATTTGTCCGAACTCCCCCTTTTTGAAGTAGGAAAAAAAGGGAAAAAGTGATGGACAGAAAGACAAATAATGCAAACAGACCGACGCGAAAAGCAGAGTATGTTGCATGTGTTCAATGTTTCCAATAACAACCGTGACATAGAGTTATACACTGAATATTTTTGGAAATGTTGCCTAAATATTTGAGCTGATGGTGGCAAAGGTTCTGCCAGTTTGAGCAGTGAAAAACAGGGACTTTGAAAAAGAGCCAGAGGGTTGTTTTTGATATGATTTATATACTGTAACAAAGAATATTAGTCTCAATGTACTTTTCTGCCTGAAATATAGTCATATAACTGCTTACAGGACTGTGTTTGGTCGCAATCTATTACTATAAGTATTGATTTTTTTTTTTCCACGGCAGAAAAGACTCATTTTCTGAACATTTCAAAATCATGAATGAACCAAACCGTGATTGCGTTTCCTTGCGTTGGCTTTGCTGTAGTGATGAGCTATTCAGTACTTGAAACCATGTTGCTTTAATGTGAATCTCAGGTTTTAGTAGGGCTTGTTTTCAAATTATGTTCTTTCTTTCTTTATTTTTGATCATTGACGGATGACGTAATAATCTGACGACTTTATCTGTTGCCTTGCTATCTGTCCATGTCATTCATTTGTAAATATAAAACAACTTTTTCTACCATGAGTTGGATGTATGTTGCATGTGCACTGCTTGGGGATAATCACAGCGGTTAGAGCTTGTGTTTCACAGCAAGAAGGTCCTGGGTTCGATCCCCAGGGCTTTCTGTGTGGAGTTTGTTCTCTGTGTAGGTTTCCCCTACTTTTAAAAACATAGCAATAGGTATGAATTTAATGAGTGAATGGATGGTGTTGATTGGGGGCGTCATCAAATCAAATCATTTACATCATTATACGAACACCAGGACCACAGACAGCACTAAACTACGGGTTTAAAGCCCAAAAACACAGTTACTGAGTTTATTTAGTTCAAATAAAAGACTCATCCATGAGCACTTCCCTATCGGGCTTCATTGAGCTGGGGGTTAACATTGTCCATATACAATCTATGGTTGTAGCTTTTAGACATTATGAATATGAACACCACAGGTTCAGAGATGCATTCATTTAATTTGCAAACACAATCATTATAATACTTCATCTTATAAACAAGTAAAACAGTTGGAAATGAGGCATAATCTTTTGAACAAGCTTAAATATATGGAGGCAGAACATGGAATCTGCAGTAACAGAGTTGTGCTTGCGCCACATGAGGGGTCGTGAGTGGTCCTCTTGTGCGTGTCTTCTGACGTTGCACCGGTCAAACATTGGAGCAGACCAGGTCGTTGACCTCAGTGACGTTGGGATCGAAGGTCGTCTTGGACTTCTTCTTGGGCAGCTTCCCGTGGCGGGCGGCTGCTTTCACAAAGCGCTCCTTGTTGTGGATGACCTGGATGTACTGGTCCACGCTGCTGTTCTGCTGGTCGCTGCTGGAGGCCACAGACGCAGAGTCGGACTCGGTCAGAGGCGCCTCCAGCTTCTGCCTGGACTTTGCTTTGACCTCCACATGATGAGAGCACCTCCCCGAGGATGACACACCCCTGCGGGAGCGCACTGACTGTTCTGCGCCCCGGACTTTGGCCTGAGGAGCTTTACGCTGTAACTCCTCCCAAGCCTCCTCCTCCTCCTCTGGGGCCTCGTAGGGGACCTTAGCCCTGGAGCAGTGGCTCTCCCCTCTGTCCCCAATGTAGAAGTGCGCAGGCTGGTGCAGGTCGGACAGAGACTTTGGCCTCAGAGTTTTTCCTAAAGGCATCTTCCTCCTGGTGCTGGGCCCCTGGTCTTCCTCCTCCTCTTCCTCACTCAGGTTCTGCTGGGACAGGTGTGCGCGGTGCAGGTGTGGCTGGTGGTGGATGGCGCGGGCCGTGTAGCGTTTGAAGTTGCGTGGATACAGCTCCAGGATCTCCGCAGGCTCCTCCATCACATAGTGGCGAGGGAGGCGCGTGGCCGACCGCAACAGGTGTTTGCGCGGCTCGTGTTCGTTGACGATGACGTAACGCGCCGTGTGGCCCCTGCGGCCGCTGAAGCTCGGGGCCGTGATGATCCTCTCCACAGGATGCAGCGCGTGGATGGTCTTTCTGTGCACAGGTGCAGAGGTCATGTGGTCAGAATAACGAGGACTGAACACCACTGGGTGGTGGGACTTGGATCTGCAGGAGCTGTTAGCACCAGTATGACCACTGTGACCACTATGCCCAGTATGACCACTATGTGAGAGCCACGGCCTGTTCAAAGGGAAGAGCAAAAACATCAAGTTAAAGTCTGTACATACTGTAAGTAGATAATGTGCTTCTACTTAAGCAACATCTCTCCTGCGGGACTTTATACACCAACCAGCAATGACTTTTTATTTGCTAATAGCCTAAAAAATAATTTGTCTGTAATTTTACAGTCTCAAAGTGAGAAGCTTATATACACTTTTAGAACAGAAGCATAATTATCTGATTTGTGCAAATCTTTTAAGGTGGATTTGTCTGAATAGTTTGGCTGGTTGGTGGATACTGCCATGCCGTCAGCTAGGGCAACATAATCTACAACATGCTTCCATTGAAATAAGCCGCTAACCTCTAACATGCCAATAATTACATTTCATAAACTTACAGAACAAGTTAGAGTCCTGAGAGTCTGAAACAGCGTGTGAAAGCCTCTCCCAGGGTTCATAACATATTAACACTTTGTAAGATTCAATAATCTAGTAACTTAGGGTTTCTCCTTTGCTACTTGATTATTGTTTGATAAAATCCTCTGAACACTTTCTTGAACAGACTGAATGATGTCAGACCTGTGCTCCAGCCGATGCTTGGGCAGCATGGCCACAGAAGGACTGCGGGAGGTCCCGGCCCGGCTCAGCTCGGACCGGGAGGCTGACTGGGCGATGGTCCTGATGCTGTTGCCCCGGGAGACAGGAGACTGGAAGTTGGTGACGCTTCCGTTCCTCCGCGGTGATGGAGTTTGGATGGACGCCTCATGACTGGTGTTGTCACTGTCCTGCTGCTCAGTGCTGACCTCTGCTGGCGGCTCTGGGGCCTGCAGGCGGGCTGAGGGGATTGTGTTTGAAAATGCATGTTATGACAGGTTCGGACTTTAAGAACGCATTTACACTTCATTTTCACTGGACCAAGTCTTGTTCACTTGTAGAAATAATGCTGCGCAGACCTGTTTAAAAAACTTAAATAAAAGAGAAATATGAGTATATCAGTTGAACAAATAGATACGTCTGTTTTAAAAATTTGTGAGTATGAAAGAATTAGTTAAAGAAGGGATAAAACTTTATTTGCATGATATGACACTAAAATAATTGATAAAGAGATTTTTTTCCAAATTGCCCTTATCTGTTTGTACAACTAGTATATTATCCTTGTTATGCTTTTAAACATGTTACAACATTGTTACCAGGGGCTGGTGCTCTGTGACTGGGTGCAGCTCTGACTGCCACCCCCCCGACCCAGAAATGGATTAAGGGGAAGAAAATGGATGGATGGATGGACAACATTGTTGCATTTAAAAAAATAGACCACGAACATATAATCTACAGTGTATGGATTCACACACAAACAGATATAGGGCACTGTCCGGTTTCCGAAATGTGCTAAAAATAGCTCAGATGACTGCGCATGCGCGCATGTTTCGGACAAACATTGTGTACGACGCGTTGAGTTCTACTGTGTTCTCCACATAAGCGTGTGTATTTATTTGGGCTAAATCATTAAATCATGGTGACAACAAAACACTGCAGTTATGGTGCTTGTCGGAGCGATTTCAGATACTCTGAAAAGGACTATATGAAAGTAACATTCAACCCGTTCGTTAAACCACAACATCGGACCAGACCAGGACCAGACCAGGACCAGATCAGACCAGGACAAGTGCAAGAGGTGGGTGCTTGTGGTCAGCAGAATTTCTCTCATGAAAAGGTTAAAAAGGACACATGTTTTTTCAAAACACTTCGCTGGACCAACTGTGGAGCCTCCAGATCCAGTCCTAGCTACGTTTAGCTGGGACTGGATCTGGACCGCTGTATCAGGTCCGTCTGAGCTCTTCTGAATGTAGTTAGCCCCATCAATCCATATTAGTATTGTTTGTCCTAATCCAGAAAGTATACAATTCTCACACCTGAAGAAAGATGAGAGGGATTTTTTTCAACTTTGTGACTATCGGAAAATAAGTTCAGACGAAGCGCGTCGGGGTCCGCTTATTATACGGCTTTGTAACAACTCAACACGCAAAATAAACGTCATTCACTATTAATGCCGAAAGGTTTATTTAATGAGTGCAAAGAAAATAGTTCCCACAGGTTTTCCCGTGGCAGGCGAGTAACAGTGAGGATAGTTAACCTACTTTAAAAAAGCGATCGCTTTAGTTGCATTAAAAAAGTATTTTTGTCATGAAAACCTGAACAGATAATTCTGAAAACCTCCGTGCACTTGTGTTATGAATGTGTATAATGTATTCTCCCATTAACATTTAAATGTGTCGATTGATGGTCATTTGCGTTTACTGAGTGTGGCTAGCTCCGATAGTTTCTCTGCAGAGACAGTGGCGTAACCCGTTGTGATCATGGATTTATTATAATATCAGCTGACTGTAGCTAACTAATGATCAAACTAATTACAAAGTGGATAGTGCAAAAAAAAAAAAACTTGATAAATGGAAGTTAATCACAGTAAAACAAACAAAGAAGGCGCTAGCATTGCAATTTAAATGACTAGATAATGTTAGCATAATCCTTACCATTATCTTTTTATCAACTCAAACTTTCTACTGGAAGACCACGACATTCAAGCCAACGTTATAATTGGTCTACACTATGATCCCTGATGGTTTGATGGTGGAATTTTGCCCCTGGTATTTCATTTTCGTCTAAAGTGACAAGTGGTATTTGATTCATTTCGGCAGTGTTTGTCCGAAACATGTGGGCGGGAGTTGACAGGCGGCGGGGGCGTGTCTTAGTGACGTCATTTAGATAGTTCGCTATTGACTTCAAATTATTATTATATAATATTTTTTCAAATGGAAGATGGTATTGATGAAATATTCTTGTGAAGTTACCTGCTGCCAACTGGAAAACCTTCTTCTTGTCATCTGTCCGCTCCTGAAACAGAACATGTACATTTTAATTATAGTATAATATTTGTGCTTTATTTTGTCCCCGTCAGGAAATTTGTCCTGATTTGTCTCATCCTTCACTGCCGCTAGGGCCTCTTTCAGGACTAGTGGTCGCAGTAGTGCCCGGGACCCAGCTCCAGATGCTCGACTTGGTCAGGACCACTGAGGGATTTAAATAGATTTAAATATTACTTCAAATGACATTTAACTGGCATGTATTAAGATAGGTGGCATAGTGGCACAGTGGTTAGAGCTTGTGCTTCAGAAAGCATGTCCTGGGTTCAAATACACTCTCATATTCTCTTTGCATGTTCTCCCCGGGTCTGCGTGTTTCCTCCTGGTGCTCCGGTTTCCCCTACCACTAAAACTTGTACACACAGATCTCCTGTGCGGCGACCTTGCCGCCATCTCTGTGTAGAGTCAGAGACAAATGCCTACTGTACAACAGCTCTTTGTGACACTGGTCACAAAATGTCAATGTCAATGTCAACTTTATTTATATAGCACATTTACAACAACACCAGCTGCCCAAAGTGCTTCACAGGCACGAATGATAAAAATAAAAATAAAACAGTATAAAATACATACACATACATGTAAAAGTAAAGTGGTAAAACCTCGATTGGTGTTAAAAGCCAAGGTGTAAAAATGTGTCTTTAAACTAGACTTAAAAACTTCCAATGAAGGAGCTCTGATGAACAGAGGTAGTCTATTCCACAATTTGGGGGCAGCAACAGAAAAGGCTCGGTCTCCTCGAGTTTTGAGACGAGACAAAAGCTCTTTGTGACAGTGGTCTAAAGGCGCTATATAAATAAAGATTACTTATTTACTTACTTATATTGATAAAGGATTTTCATAATACATTTTTCATTCACAAAAACTTACTGTCTGAAGCTGTAATCTCAGCTGGTTGTTGGTGAATTTCAGCGATCGTGCGATGGACTGAAGGTAGTATATGAGCATGCTGAAACAGGAGAAGGGCAGATGATACTGTATGTCGATAGTTAGTTTTTTCAGTGGCGAAAAGGCGGTACTGCAACCTTATTTGAGGTGGTACTTGTATCTAAACTGATGGTTTGGTCCAATATCACACTATCCAAACCAATGTCTCCCTTGAACCATTAAGTGTTACTGTTGAAAAGCCAAACGTCTAAAACTCAGATCAAAACCTGTAGAAATCTAAACACATTTCTATTCAAGTTATTTCTGCCACTTTTTCAATAAACTTTGCAGTACCACTTTTTCACCACTTTTTCAGCACTAAAAACACCCCTTGGATTAGACCATTATTTTAAATACAAATGCCACCTTTTTGCCACTGAAAAACAAACTACTGTTAGTTTTAAACATAAACGCCATTGTTTTTGAAGCTTACAACAGCAGCAGAAGAGCGGGCAGCACCACGATCGGACTGGTGACATAGCTCATGACTTTACCGAACCACAAAGGAAAATCTTTCTCTACAGTTTCGGAGATGATGTCGTAGATCTTCTCTTGACCACTAGAACAAACACACATGGGTTATGCACATTTTATAACAATAACTTCACTACACAGATTACAATAGCATAATTTGCTTCTTCCCATTGTGTCCATTCTCCAGTCATGTAGTGGGAAATGGAAATGGGACCCTATGAGCTTCCTGCAGTGCTGAGTCTGAGGACAGTGATGATCCAGGACATGTATGGATTAACATGGACAGTGGTCATCCCGCTCCCGAACCGGTGGCTCGTATGTGTTTGTTAATATTGCATTTCCTGTTTTTGACTGTTTGATCTGATCTGATGTTGGTGAAGCGACAACTTTGTAAAACGACTGTTGTGATTAAATATGCAATATGTAAGATTTCTTCAACAAATGGCCCTAATCTGTCAAAAGGCATTTATAAATCATGCTCTAGTTCAGCCGAGATATTTGAATTTCAAATTTAGATTTACAGCCCCTAAATATTGTTATTGTTTTTATTGCAATGTCCCGCCCTCGACCGGTTTACCAATCAGAAAGTTTGTGATCCAGGTTGCCAGAACTCACCGCGTCAATCTAATCTCACTGGTAACATGGCCGCAGTATGAAAAACGGTTTTGTTGTGATTCTCAAATCATTCATGACAAAACAAGGAATAAAACAAGAATTTCTATTGGGGCCTCTGTGAAAAATGTGTTGTTTATAGATTTGTTATTGACAAAACTCTTGTCTATTCAGCTATTATGGTCCCAGTTGGATTTGTCTGCATACTGGCAACCTGAGTCGGGAAGAGTGGGAGAAGTTGCAGTACCACTTTTGGCCAAATGGCTAAATGGAAATAAATTGAAAAGAATTGAATGAAGTGCATTTAACGTCGCATAATGTTTTATTATTTTGCCAAAGGAGATCCTGAATGACAATAGTGTGTGTGTACCTGAATGGGCCACAGTGCTGGGAAGGTCTGTATCTGACTATGGCAAAGATGGTGGGCAGCATACACAGGAACAGCATGAACAGCAGCATCGCCAGGTAGAAGTTATTTGATCTGAAAAATAATAATATTTTTTTTTTCTAGGAGGTAGGGTACCATCACACACACAAAAAACATTGTGACATCCTTTCCAAACAAGAATGAAATGCATTCAAGGGAGGTGTAAGCGTTTTAGAGACACAGACAGACAGAGAGAGACAGAGACAGGCAAAGAGAGACAGAGAGAGACAGACAGACAGACAGACGGATAGGCCGATAGATAGAGACGCAGACAGACAGAGAGAGACCGACAGACAGAGAGAGACAGACAGACAGACAAACAAACAGAGAGACAGAGACAGATTAGGGGGGGGGGGGGGGGGGGGTGCAACAGACAGAGACACGGACAGACAGTCAGACAGGGGCAGATAGATAGAGACAGATACATACACCTCCCCCCTGGACTGCCACCTTAACGTGGTGGGGGAGTTTGAGTACTCGGATGATCCTGGGGGCTATGCTGTCTGGGGCTTCATGCCCCTGGTAGGGCCTCCCATGGCAGACAGGTCTCAGGTGACGAGTCAGACAAAGAGCAGTCCAGAAGACACCATGGACAGCACAAACATGAAAACAGTGACGTCGCCCGGCATGGCGCAGCCGGGGCCCCACCCTGGAGCCAGGCCTGGGGTCGGGGCTCGTATGCGAGCGTCTGGTGGCCGGGCCCCGTGGGCCGGCTCAGCCCGAAGGGATGACGTGGGCAGTCCCTCCTGTGGGCCCACCACCTGCAGAGGGGTCCGTGGTGGCGCGGTGCTGAGAGGACTGGGCGGCAGTCGAAGGCGGAGACCTCGGCGACCCAGTCCGCACACACAACATCTGGCTCTTGGGACGTGGAACGTCCCAAGAGCCACGTGGTGCCACGTGGCACGTCCACCAGTGCACGTGGCACCAGGACACCCTAGGCCGGAGGTCGATGATCGACTTTGTTGTCGTATCATCTGACCTTCGACCGCGTGTCTCGGACACTCGGGTAAAGAGAGGGGCGGAGCTGTCAACCGATTATCACCTGGTCGTGAGTTGGATCCGCTGGCAGGGGAAGAAGCCGGTCAGACCTGGCAGACCCAAGCGTATAGTGAGGGTCTGCTGGGAACGTCTCGCTGAGCCCCCTGTCAGACGGACTTTCAACTCACACCTCCGGGAGAGTTTCTCCCAGGTCCCAGCGGAGGAGGGGGACATGGAGTCCGAGTGGACCATGTTCTCTGCCTCAATCGCCGATGCGGCGGCTCGTAGCTGTGGTCGCAAGGTCTCTGGTGCTGGTCCCGGCGGCAACCCCCGAACCCGGTGGTGGACACCGGCAGTAAGGGATGCTGTCAGGCTGAAGAAGGAGTCCTATCGAGCCATGATGGTTCGGGGGACTCCTGAGGCAGCTGTACAGTACCGGCAGGCCAAGCGTGCCGCGGCCCGGGCTGTTGCAGAGGCAAAAACCCGGGACTGGGAGGAGTTCGGAGAGTCCATGGAGCATGACTATCGGTCGGCCGCAAAGAGATTCTGGCAAACCATCCGGCGCCTCAGGAGGGGGAAGCAGTTCTTTGCCAACACCATGTACGGTGCGGGTGGAGAGCTGCTGACCTCGACTGGGGATATTGTCGGGCGGTGGAAGGAATACTTTGAGGTTCTCCTCAATCCCCCCGTCACGTCCTCTGTTACAGAGGCAGAGGCTGAGGATGTTGGGGCGGATACATCCATCTCCCTGGCTGAGGTCACCAAGGTGGTTGGTAGCCTCCATGGTGGCAAGGCTCCGGGTGTGGATGAGATCCGCCCTGATTATCTAAAGTCTCTGGATGTTATAGGACTGTCTTGGCTGACACGTCTCTGCAACATCGCGTGGCGATCGGGGGCGGTGCCAATGGAGTGGCAGACCGGGGTGGTGGTCCCTCTCTACAAGAAGGGGGACCGGAGGGTGTGTTCCAATTATCGTGGGATCACACTCCTCAGCCTCCCCGGTAAGGTCTACTCCAAGGTACTGGAGAGGAGGTTACGGCCGATGGTCGAATCTCGGATCCAGGAGGAGCAGTGTGGTTTTCGTCCCGGTCGCGGAACACTGGACCAGCTCTATACTCTCCATCGGATACTCGAGGGTTCATGGGAGTTCGCCCAACCTGTCCACATGTGCTTTGTGGATTTGGAGAAGGCGTTCGACTGTGTTCCCCGGGGTGTCCTTTGGGGCGTTCTCCGGGAGTACGGGGTCGGAGGTCCTCTGCTGAGGGCCATCCGATCCCTGTATGACCGGAGCCAGAGCTGTGTTCGCATTGCCGGCAGTAAGTCAGACCTGTTCCCGGTGAATGTTGGCCTCAGACAGGGCTGCCCTTTGTCACCGGTTCTGTTCACTGTATTTATGGACAGAATATCTAGGCGCAGCCAGGGGTCGGAGGGGGTCCGGTTCGGAGACCACAGGATTTCATCTCTGCTGTTTGCGGACGATGTTGTCCTGTTGGCTCCAACGAACCAGGACCTGCAGCATGCACTGGGGCGGTTTGCAGCCGAGTGTGAAGCGGCTGGGATGAGAATCAGCTCCTCCGAATCCGAGGCCATGGTGCTCGACCGGAAAAAGGTGCCTTGCCCTCTGCAGGTGGGTGGAGAGGTCCTTCCTCAAGTGGAGGAGTTCAAGTATCTCGGGGTCTTGTTCACGTGTGAGGGAAGAATGGAGCGTAAGATTGACAGGCGGATCGGTGCAGCGTGCGCAGTGATGCGGTCGCTGTATCGAACCGTTGTGGTAAAGAGGGAGCTGAGCCGAAAGGCAAAGCTCTCGATTTACCGGTCAATCTTCGTTCCCTCACCTATGGTCATGAGCTTTGGGTAATGACCGAAAGAACGAGATCGCGGATACAAGCGGTCGAAATGAGCTTCCTCCGCAGAGTGGCTGGGCGCTCCCTTAAAGATAGGGTGAGGAGCTCAGTCACACGGGAGGAGCTCGGAGTAGAGCCGCTGCTTCTCCACGTCGAGAGGAACCAGTTGAGGTGGCTCGGGCATCTGTTCTGGATGCCTCCTGGACGCCTCCCTGGGGAGGTGTTCCGGGCACGTCCCACCGGGAGGAGGCCCCGCGGAAGACCTAGGACACGCTGGAGGGACTATGTCTCTCAGCTGGCCTGGGAACGCCTTGGGGTCCCCCCGGACGAGCTGGAGGAAGTGTGTGTGGATAGGGAAGTCTGGGCGTCTCTGCTTAGACTGCTGCCCCCGCGACCCGGCAACGGATAAAGCAGAAGAAAATGGATGGAGATACATACACACAGACAGATACAGAGAGACAGACAAATAGAGGCAGAGACAGACAGACAGGGACGGACAGAGACAGACAGAGACAAACAGACAGACAGAGGCGGACAGAGATACAGACAGACAGACAGAATTGGAATTTTATTTTTCTTCTTGTGCTTGCTTAGTTTTGTGTGTCATGTTTTTTTTTTGCAGTAATTTAAAAGAGAGAAGACGTAGAATAAATAAACTCAGAAGGCAGTGGTAGTGGTGTGTACCTGGATCATACCTGGACGCTCTGAAGACCTGCTGATGCGGAACGTTACATGTGAGGACGGCCCAGCTCCTCAAATACATCAGACCGATCAGCTTCATCACGTTAAAGGCAGGAAGACACGGGGAGAAGAACGCTCCCATCCTGAAAATATGGAGACAAATGTGAAGGCCATGCACAGGACACACACACACACACGTGACATTAGTTATGGTCATTCTGGTGACGTTTTTGAAATGAGTGTTTAGTCGAGCAAAACCGTGTAATGGACATGTTTGAACAGGGTCACTGTGATATGGCCTTTTATACACACACACACACACACACACACACACACACACACACACACACACACACACACACACACACACACACACACACACACACACACACACACACACATCCACAGACATAGACAGCTAAACAGACACACACAAACATACACAGGCAGATACACACATGCGTGCACACACACACACACACACACACACACACACAGACAGACAGATAGATACAAGCAGACACAGATACACACACACACACACACACACACATACCCATCAACAGACACACACAGACAGAGACACACACACATACGCACCCACCCAAACACATAGATACACAAACACTCAGACACACGCAGAGTAGACAGACAGACACATACAGTACACAGACACACACAAACAGATAGACAGACAAACAGATAGACACACACAAACAGACACGTAGACAGACACACACGCACAAATAGATAGACAGACAGACACACACACACACAGATACTCACCAGATCATACCTTGGTTGTAAATGAGGTGCAGTACATTTTCAGCTATTTTGAATTCTCCGTATTCAGGCTAAAACAGAGATACAGGTTTTACATTAAATATATTTTGCACACCAACAGAAGAATGACAAAGCACCACAATGACATCAACCATCTGGGACTCTGAGGAGCACAGGGAGGAGCAGCTTTGTCAGGACCAGGACTCGCTGGAGGAGCATGTACAACAGGCAAACCGGAGCAGAGACCGGGAAAAACATGCAAACTCCACACATAGGGTCCTGGAATCTACCCTGCAGTCATAGAGTGGTAGGACCCAGAATCTGGAACAGCCTTTCAGATCTACTGAGTAACTGCAGCACTTTAAAATGCAGTTAAAACGCACAAGAAAAAACTGTTCTTTCGCATAAACTGACCTGACTCTGACTTTTATTTTAAGCGTTATTTAATCTTAATTGTCCTTACTCATATATTAATTTCACTTGTTTCTCAACCGAATAAGTGATATTATATAGTGAACAGTAGATTGTAGCACCATTATCCCATGGTCACAAACACACACTCATTTGCACTGAACTATTTTAAGTGAAATTGAATAATATGATTGCACTTGAATTCTATAATATCTCCATTTGTTTGTATTTGGAATGCCTCTTTCTTGTTTGTTAGGTTACATGTATTGAATAATAATGTAAATATTTAAAGCAGGGGGCGACAGTAGCTCAGTTGGTAGAGCATTGGCCTTAAGGCCAGAAGGTTGTGGGTTCAATTCCCACCTCTGCACCTTCTCCACCGACTCCCACTGATGACTGCTGTCGTTGTGTCCTTGGGCAAGACACTTAACCCCACTTTGCCCAAAAGCCCCCACTGAAAGATCAAGGCTATGCTCACACTCAGAGAGCAGCTGTCCTCCTGTGGACTCACCACCTGCAGAGGGTCAGTGAGAGGCTGGTGCTATGAGACTTGGGTGGCATCTCTGATTGCCACCCCCCTGACCCAGAAATGGATTAAAGGGTAGAAAATGGATGGATGGATGGATATTTAAAGCAGTGTTCGTACAAACTTGCTCTCGAGGTCCCAGCAGCAGCAGTCGCTCAGGTACCTGACCACCAGCCCTCTGATAAAGTCTATGAGCAGAATACTGGCCACAGTGAAGATCATGTCTATGATGGACAACTTCAGCATCTCCTGCAAAAACACACAAACAGATAAACCCAGGTTTTAATGTTGTGGCATGATCAGTTTCTAGACTACATCTTCTAGTCAAGATCTAGAGTTTTCTTTGCATTGCTGTGTTGATTTTGACCTTTCTTATTTTGCTTTAGTATTTTGATTTTGGTTGTTGCAAAAATCCATCCATTGAATCCTCTTCAATGGATTCAATTCAGCATATGAGTCGATAGGTAAGACTTAAGTCAGCTTTGAGTCGAAAAACACAGTAGTATGGTAACTTAAGCATTATCCTCTCCTACATTATCTGTAATCAATATAACTTCAGCTGTAGTCTGTTCACTGCTATTCACCCACTGTCCTATTATCTGCTTCTTTCATCTGCACCTGTGGCCTGTCTCCCCCTGGCCTGGACTTGCGGGCTGCGCCTTCCTCCAGGCCAAACCTTCTTTAGTACTGCACTGCACAGTTTCATCCATTCTCTACAGTCTGATACCTGGATCTACAGCCTGTCCGCCTGTGGTTTCTCAAATTTCTTCCCACTCTTTTTTTAATTTTTATTATTCCTTGCGGATGTAGCAAGGTCTAAGGACAGTGATGATCTGGGACATTTATGAACATTTATGGACATTGGTCAACCCATTGGCTATCCTATATATGGTTGTTGACTTCTGTATTTTACCTGTCCCACATACGTCTCCCAGCACTGGTCCTGCTTGTTCTTCTCAAACACACTGGTCTGGTTGGACAAAGACACCGCCACACTCCCTCTTATGGTGGTGACTGGATCCAACATGGTAGCATCGGTGGCTAACGTGCTAATATTCCGGGGCACTGCGGTGGACATGACTTCAGGCTGTGAGATCGTAGCCAGGAAGGAGCTTGGTTCAGTCCAATTTGAGGAAGACACAGAAATCTGGAGTTCAAAAAAATCTTCATTTCACTGATGATTTCAACTGTGTCGTATTTATTTTGCGTTAAATTCTTTGCGTTTTTCTGTACTCACCGCTGAGCTCATGATGTTGACCTTGTCCAACAGAGCGATGATGAGACTGTAGAGATTTCCAAGATACAAAACAAGAACCCTGTGGAGTTTCAAATGTTCCTTTCACATTAACACATATGGTCTCTGTATACGTTTAAGCACACAAAGTTATGGATTTTTTTTTTAACCTGGCGAGCTGAAAACGCAGTGAGGTTCTCGGGTGGTACATCTCCAGTTGAGAGACCAACTCAAACGCAGACGGAGCGATCATGGTGATGAGGGACACGACCACACTCACCTGAAGAGATGCAGCCATGAGCCAATCTAATAATAATCGACAGTAGTACAGTTTAAAGCTGGGGTGCCTAACTTTCAAGCCACAAAAAATGAAACTATGTAATGAAATCTATCCAAGTAATCCCTAGCACTTATACTTTGTTCTATAATTTTTCATATGCAGGTAGTATTGGTCTGTGTCATATTTTTTGATCAACTTTTTCAGACAGAAAAGTGGAAAGGAAAGGACAAAGTGGCAGTTAAGGACGCATGCAACCTTCCCTGGCCGTAACACTGCCAGTGAATTTAGCTGAAGGAAAATAGTTAACCAATGGGGATTCATTCGAGTTAACCCTTTAATGTATTTTTCAAACATTTGGTTGATCATGTTTTCGTCAATTTGAGTCAAGCTTGGAACTGAAATCTACCTCTTTTGAGCATCTCACTTGGCTTCGGGCACTTTTACCATCACACTGCATCCCAACCATTTGGTAAAGGCCTATCATGAAAAAAAATAACAAAATTGGGTTTCAATTTTTTACCAAATAATACAACAAACACTTTGCTTTCGTCATGAATTGAACATTAAAGGGTTAATTTTGTCCAATCAAGTATCTGGAAGTGAGCATTTGCATGGCGATTTCATTTTCAATTCAAATCCTTTTTCCAGGCCTAGTTCACAACAACAGTCGTCCCGGAGGAGTTTCTTAAGCCTCGGTCCTCCTTCCTGGATGTTCGGAGTCCTGGATCCACACTCTGTCCGTTCGTGGGAGTGGATCCCTCTCTTAATGTGGGCATCCCAGAGGTTTCTCACTTTCTTCCCACTCATTTTGTTTTGTGATTTCTTGGCGGTTCAGGAGGGTCCATGGACAGTGATGATCAGGGATATTTAAGGACATCGGTCATCCTGCTCCCTATGGACCAATGGCTCCTTGGCAATGGATCTGTTGTTTGTGAATGAACTTATAAAAAAGTGATGTATTTGAGCCAGAGGCAGTGAATGAGCCTTTCCAAACAGTTTTACGTCTAACGATGACATATTAAGGGCTGTGATGTTAAGCTTACACGGCACACACATGACTCAGACAGCAGCAGCCACGCCACACTGCTCACGTCTCATCTGTTTGCATCGATCCTAGTATTGAAGCTCATGAGCATGTATACAACACAATAATCCAATCACGCTCCAATCATACAGCGGCTCTACCTCGTTCTTCTCCCACAACGTGAGCTCGGGCTTCTCCTGCTCCAGTTTCTGAGAACGATCCACCACAAAGTAGATGATGTAGATGCTGCCGGCCAGAGAAAGCAGCACCAAGATGTTGGCTAAGATCCGCAGGCTGATCAGAACAGCACTGAAGGACACGACAACAGACACAAGTTAAACATGGGCATTGTATTACTATTCTCAGTTACTTTTAGAATTATGTACAGGTATGTATTGATGTTTGTACGGATGGATGTGTTTCTGCTGCAGGACACCTGAATTTCAAAATTATCTATCTATCTATCCATCCATCCAACTATCTATCAATCTATCGGGCTATGTATCAGAATCAGAATAGTACAATAAACACATTAATAGAAAAAAACTAAATTCTGACTCGTACACTTACAGGCTGGTGTCTTTCTTCTTCTCCTGTTCTTCACAGATGGCCTCCTGTGAGACATACAACATTGTGTGACACTCGAAACAAAAGTTAAAAGAATTTGAAATCCTCACCCTGATGTTGTTGACGATGGCTGCTCCTTTGCTCTCTGCTGCCTCTGGGTTCCCGATCAGGTAATCCCAGGCACAAAACACTCTCCAGCAGAAGGTGAAGTTCTCATCTGATGCACTTGCCAAACTCAGGCGAGAGTTTTTGGCCATTCTGAGACACATGTCACACATTCTACATGTTTACAGTATTTATAATTCATACATTAGAATAAAAGGTTTATTTAACATTAAATGCATTCACTCAACCACTAAAGGTTATTATTTGACTAAAACAATAGCTGATTTAGTAAACTTTTTTGCACCATTTTCCTGTGAGAGGGGCCACTCTCGTCAATTTTGAAACAGTCTTCACAACAACAGTCTTCAACAGGGAAAAGTGATCACACATAAGTTCCAACGGCGAAGATTGGCGTCACTACGTCAGTTGATATTTACAGTCCATGGTTATGATGCATCTGTACAATCTCTAGATGCCAAACATAAAATAAACTGAAGAAAGACATACTTCCTGAGCAAAATGATGAAGCTGTAAGCAAAGACTGCCATCCCAACCAGGAAGTAGGCCAGAGGCAGTCGGTATCCTGCGCTGCCGATCTTTCGAACACTGCCGTAGTATCCATAAAACAGAACGGAGTACTGGAGGTATCCCTGCGAATCACAGTGAAAAACAGTAAAACAAAAATCAAAGTAAAAAACTGTATTTTCAGAGTGTATCTATCCCAAGTGCACTGAGAGAGGTGTAAAAATATGTCCCAGAAATTGCAGGCCATGAATTACTTAGAAAAGGCCTGTAGAGAGACTGTAGTTTAAAATTGTGGTGGAGGGCAACAGTTTTTTTTTGCTAATGTCTATTTTTTTCCTGGGTCAATCCACATTAGTACATATGACTATGGTCATATACAAGAAACATATGCAGGATGTTGGCCTGTAGAAGGGACTTTCAGATGAGACAATGTCTTGCTATAGGACACAGCATTAGGTCAGAGACACAGTTCTGTGATCAGAGTGCAGTGTGACAGTAGCTTCTGACTTTGCAGAGCTTGTGAAGGTTGGAACGGATCACTGCAGTCGCCAGCGAAGGGCAAGGAAGCTGTAAAGTAATGTTTGACAAATGGCCTTTTGTCTGTGTATTAAAAGGCTATCGACAAAAGTGTAAAAGTGAGAGAGACTCGCCCCGAGTGACCAGATGGTGTCCAAGTCCTGGGCTGAGCCCATGTGCTCTTTGGGGATGGTTTTACTCCGAGTCGTCCCAAATGAAGCTCCCGCCAACAGCTACAAAGACAAAAGATTTCTATGGATTAACATAAGTCTTGTTCAGTTTAATTATAAGAATAGATACTTTGAATAAATGTATGAACCACAGTAAAAGTGCTTTATGTGCTTTGGTTTTCTTTGACATTGACTCTGTCCCACCAGGAAGAGTCTTGTTTAAGTAAGTAAGGATTTACATTTACTATAATTCTTTTGGGTTGTTATTTAGGGCCATTTTTGTGTTGCCCTAAATCACAACAGCGAGGACGTTACAACGTTGTCAATTCACCGATATCAGATCAGAGATTCAAACAGTTCGACCACAAGAAATGCCCTAATTACAAACATATACAATAAATGCCATTTGTCCATAGAGAGCAGGGTCCATAAATGTTAGCAGATGTCCCGGATCATCACTGTCCTTAGAACCTCCTTCATTTACCAAATAAATAAATACATAAACAGACAAACAATAAATAAATAAGTAAGTAAATACTGCATGTTCAACAATGAGAAGTTAATAATAACACACATACAAGTACTGTATTTTTGTGTAATAGAATCTTCACAGTTGATAGTCAATTGCATAGATCAATTGTACACACCACATCATTTTCTATGAACAGGTCCAACACAAACGCAAGCCATTTATAATTAAACGATTATAGACATAACCTCACATTAGAGTGCTTGTAAATTGTCTTCCATTCTTCACTTTTATCATCCATTTTGGCTGATTTGAGGTTTTTAAATGGCAACGCAGAAAAGCCACATTTTATTATCCCACTGGTTGCATTTGATTTCGGGGAATGAGATGTCTCTGTTAAATTTTGTATCAGCACAAACCCTCCCAGTGCCATAAAAGTCAATGAGCGGAGGAGAGATAAGGCTGTGATGTGTTCGAGGACGCTGGGAAAGGTTAGTTCCATTACAGACGAGGCACAGGGCACACACTAAATCACGGGTGGGAAAATTGGCTGTGTCTTTGTGTGGCTGGGTTTCTATCGGGATGTTTCAACCTTTCGAGATTTTTAGCATGGATTATTTTGAATTAAAAAGCATGGTATATTGTATTTGAAATATTACAATTAGGGATGATATTATATTATGTTAGGCCTTAGATTCAGATTCAATTTGCCATTTGCAGTAAAACCACCATGGAGTATACTGTATGTGCAAAAGTACCCCAGTGTGCACCAGACAAGTACTATATAGACAGAACAAGCAAAAAAGTACAAGAAATAAATGTCTCTGCGAAACAGGACAACAGCTCGTGGAAAGTAGCTGTTAGCATATCTAGATGTCCTGCATCTCAGCGAATAGTATCTTCAGCCAATGGGAAGAAGCTGGAACATGGCTTTTCCAGGGTGGCCAGAAAAGTTATTGATAATTCTAGGAGCTTGATTGAAGAGCTCACAGCTCACAGTTTTCTTTCAGAGCGTAGCATCTTGGCTGGGATGTTGCCAAACCACACAGTCACAGAAATTCTCACAGAATTTCAAAGGCAAAAAAAGAAAAGAAATCACAAACAATGTATAGTATCATTAAAAGAAAGACCAGACAAAAATCAGACTACAGGAATTACTAGCCATAGAAGTGGAAGTCAACAAGTGTCAGATCTTACCAAAAATACTGTAACATTTAAACAATAGGTCAACGTATTCATTACAGGCTTATTTATAAGTAAGTAAGTAATCTTTATTTATATACCACCTTTCACAGACCAGAGTCACAAAGCATTTTACAAATGTTATTTTTGGGCATTTGTCTCTCACTCCACACAGAGATGGGGAGAACATGCAAACTCCACTCAGAAAGGCCCTGGTCCGACTGGGATTCGAACCCAGGACCTTCTTGCTGTGAGGCGAGAGAGCTATCCACTCGATCAGCCACTGTGCCGAGTGGATAGCTGATCGTTTATCGATAACAAATTAAAGTTTGCATGTATTATAATGAACTATGATGATAATAATAATAATGATAAAAACAACAACAAAGCTTTTTTTGTATAGCACTTTTCAAAAACAATGTTAACAAAGTGCTGCACACTCTCACCTCTGGCAACACAATGAAGGCTCCCGTCATGATGGTCAAGACGATGTTGATACCGAAAAGCCATCGGAGGAAGATGAAGTAAGAGGCCACACCGGACCCAAAGTGACCTAAAAATAGGCAAAAACTTTATCAAAAACAGAAGTAAGGGCGAAATACTAACCATGAGTTTCAGAATAATTTGAAAATGGAAATGTTGTAAGAAAAATATGATATGATTTAAAAGGAATAAACTATGTGTAAAAAAATAATGAAAGTTGAAATCCAATAACACCCATTTAAGAGCTGCTGTTTTTGAGATTACTGTTTATCAGTGCGCTTGTATTGGAATAATATAGATAATCCATCCATTCATCCATTTTCTACCCCTTAATCCATTTCTGGGTTGGGGGGGTGGCAGTCAGAGATGCCACCCAAGTCATAGAGCACCTGCTCCTCACTGACCCTCTGCAGGTGGTGAGTCCACAGGAGGACGGCTGCTCTGTCAATGTGAGCATAGCCATGATCTCTCAGTTGGGGCTTTGGGCAAAGTGGGGTTAAGTGTCTTGCCCAAGGACACAACAACAGCAGACATCAGCAGGAGTCGGTGAAGAAGGTGTCAAGGTGGGAATTGAACCCACAACCTTCAGGCCTACAGGCCAATGCTCTAACAACTGAGCTACTGTCACCTATATTATATAGAAATATATGATATAGATAATATTAACATTTATTCATTCCTCAGTGGGGAAATTTCAATGTCATGGTGGAATGTTTACACGTTAGATCGCTTTTGTAAACAGTATGTTATATAGTCCTAAATCATAACAGCAGTTGTCTCAGAGGACTGTACAAAGTTGTTGATTCAGCCATTGGTCCATGGGAGCGGGATGCAGTGGGAAAAAAGTGAGAAACCTTCGGGGGACTGTAGGTCCGCGACTCAGGCTGTAGAACGAGGAATGAGGCTGTGCGGTGCTGTGCTCAGTTAAATAGAATAAAAATAAAACGTAAAATAGGGTCAATAGCGGACTGAACTGGATTTTAACTTGTGGTTGACTAGAGAATGATTCTGGTGGAGATGTGAATGCACAATGGTCATATAAGTCCGTTCAAAGTCGTTTTAAAACAGTTTTGAGGACTGTTGCATTTGCTTCTGAAATAAAACAAGTCCATTTTGACCAATAAGTAAGAATAAGAATGACCCCAAACAAATTAAACTCACTTTCTATTTTCTTGATCCTGACTTCCCAGGGGATGAAGAGGACTACGATGTTATACAGGAGTCGGGAAAGTTTCTTCAAAAGCTGCAAAGAAAAATGCAAACGTTTTCGAGGTGTGCAACATTGATTTTCTTTGGGTCCAACATCACACACATAATTATGATTCACTTTTAGCAGTTTTGTTAAAATGTTACACTCAAGCTATGTATACCGCAAGTTGATTCTATTTTAAGACCAGGGTGGTAATTTTGTACTTTGTTTTCATTTTTGTTTCTTCCTACCACCAGAAGCCGGACGACAGCGCCATCTGCAGTCTGACTTCTTCAGAACAGAATCCCATGTATGTGAGAGTAAACAAGCTCCCTCGTGCCCGTTTATTGTCCTGGTGGCACGTTTTCATATTTCTTTAACCTCTTTGATCCAGCGTCGTCCCAGTCCATAATATGGATCTCTCTTTCACAGTAGGTCGGAGATGACTGATTTCAGTTGCTCTTATTCTGCTTTGTGTTTTGTTGCTCCTGTACACGCCTTTGTCGCCTTCTTCTTCTGTTTTGTGTTGTTTTTGCTCTGTACAGAAAGTTTCTGCTTCCCGAAAAACCTCACAAGACCACTCTGAGGAAAACTGCAGGCCAGAAGTCAAAACCGTCAGGTATGAAAAATAAATCATCTTGTAGAATAATCAGAAGACCAAACGAACCTTGTTGAATGATCAAACTAAACATATTGATACATGATTTCTACTAGTGCAGATTTTTCACAAACTTACAATAATAATAAGTGAATTGTCCACATTACTCAAGTCTCCCCAAAACAGTCTCTCTCTCTCAGGGTGAGTCAGAAAGTCTAAATTGATAAAAGGATTATTACCCATGATAAACTCTTGGTCGATAATTTGAAATCTTCAATTAACTTGATGCTAAACAGTTGAATTAATAATTCATGGTAAGAGTCCTCACTAAATGTCAATTTATTCTAATGGGACCGAGCAGCCTGAACATTTTAATTAAACTCAGCTATAACAACAGCAGCCTATAAATCCAGTCCAGAGCTACAGCCGTACGCTCGGTCTGTCACTGCAGCTACAGTTTCAGTTTCAGCCAAAAGGAGCAAGCAAAAGGCTGCTGAAATATTTCCCTTTAGCAGCAGAAATCACTTTTTGTAACATAAGGGTTCAGTGGCCACAATCTTTTTAAGCTTTAATAACTGTCTCTTTGTGTATTTTAATTTTTAATTTTTTACATTATGTCAGTAATTTCCTCCCCAAAAATGTTTTCACTTGAGTTTCAGATGATATTTCAAAACTGGATCCAAATCAAGAAAGAATAAGTTATTTCAAACTGATAGAGCAATTATTTTTATTTATTGCACTATAGGTTTCTTGTTCAGATTTACATAAATTGTTTGCTTTTTCACAAGGGAATTAAAGCTTTATAATGATGTATAACATATAATTTCACCTTGGCAGCCTATATAAAACCATCAATAGGTTGTAAGGCAAAGGGGACATAACCAAAAAATCTACTCTCACAGGTTTCTGACCCTGGTAGAGCTGTGTTCCAGCTGCTCAGCATCATTCATGCATGTTTTAATTATCTATATTCTCTTACACGCACGCCGCCATTGCCCAACCCTCAGTCCTCTGACTACACAGGGACGTACCACAGGAAAGTAACTCTCTAAGGTTTCACTTACTTTATTGGTGATGATATTTGCTTGAATAAATAAATAATCACATCACAAGTGTATATCTTTTTCAACGTTTTCCTGGCGCTTCGTCAAAGGGGCAGGGCTAAGTGTTATAGCGGGACTGAGGGAGGAGGTATTCAATATGTTTCTTTTATAACATAATTTCAGCTCCATTCAACCCCAGTAACCTCAGTTTGGAAAGACTGTTGTACTTTTAGTTTACCATGAGAACCAGATCTCACTCACATCAGCTCCTGCGGTCTGGTATCCTCTGGTCCTGGTCAGTCGGCCTTCATACTTCAGCACTATCTCTCTGGCCTGTCTGAAACACAAACCATAAACACTACTTTATAACTATTTTACTTAGCTAGAAATAAAGTAAACCATGTGACTGAACAGAATAACTCAAATAAGCGAAACAGTAACAGTTTGGGAGTTACTTAAAACAGGCAGGGCTGCAGACTTTTGCCCCTGATCGAAAAGAAAAGGATTTAGGGGCGCATGCTTAATATATTTGACATCAAAATCGCAATGGTTTAAATAAAATCATTAGTAACAAATAGCTTTTCTCAGAACAATGTACCAACACTCATGTAAATGTGCCCCAAAATCATATTATTCTCACCAAATAATAAAAGGACACTCAAACCCTGCCCCCTGTGTCAAAATATATGTATTAAGTACTTGACATAAACATAACAACACTATATGTATACAACAATTCTCTTAACACATTCTTTTAAAGCTTTTTAATACTAAACAAAACACACCACAACTTCACCCTCTGCATTATCAGACTAAATATTACGAGCTTCAACATTTTTATAAACAATATAATAAAACAGCGAGACAAACTTTATTAATTCCCCTGCAGCTGCCTGGTCCCATAAAGATAAATTAAAATGTATTTCGGGGGTTTTACAGCCGTGAGTCATGAAAGCACATCCTCTCCCTGATACTGTGCAGACATTATTGAATCAAATGATAAAGAATCACTATATCCCATTATATACATGTATAAATACACACACCATTTGAATACCATGAACATTACCTGATGAAATAAGCCCTTATAAATGACTTACATTTTGGGCTCTATGGACATAAATAAATACAATTTGATCTTAAACTGTGTCTATGTATATTTTCTGATTAGAGCACCACCCAAGAGAGCTGTTGCATTTTATTACTATTGTTATCTACATTTAGAATTATTTATTTATTTGTTTTGTTTGTTTGTATTGAGGGATGTCTTTCTGCTGCTAATGACTGAATTTCGTATACGGGGATCAAGTATCTATCAATCTATTGGGTTAGGAAGACGTCACTGTTTTGCTCATTAACAAAGTCGCCTTTGAGATGATAAGCGCAAGTTCACAATATCATCCAGCCAACTTAAGCTTCACCAATATAGGCATGCTGCACCCCTTGATAAAAAGCTACATTTCTGTACATGGCGCTGATGTAGTTGTGAGAAAGTCAAATGTGAATCAATATGAAAATGAAAACCATATTTGAAAGGATCTCGGAAGGCTTAACTAAAATGGTCCTCATCAAAATGAGGACACCCCATATTTAGATGGACCAAAACATAAAAAATCAGACTCTCCACCAGAGAAGTTATGATTTCCATATTAATAATAAAAAATGATTATGTTTTGAATTATGCGGTTTAAGTGTGAACAAGACCACGAGTGAGGGAAGGATGGAGCGTGAGATTGACAGGCGGATCGGTGCAGCGTGCGCAGTGATGCGGTCTCTGTATCGGACCGTTGTGGTAAAGAGGGAGCTGAGCCGAAAGGCAAAGCTCTCGATTTACCAGTTAATCTTCGTTCCCTCCCTCACCTATGGTCATGAGCTTTGGGTAATGACCGAAAGAACGAGATCGCGGATACAAGCGGTCGAAATGAGCTTCCTCCGCAGAGTGGCTGGGCGCTCCCTTAGAGATAGGGTGAGGAGCTCAGTCACACGGGAGGAGCTTGGAGTAGAGCCGCTGCTCCTTCACGTTGAGAGGAACCAGTTGAGGTGGCTCGGGCATCTGTTCAAGATGCCTCCCGGACGCCTCCCAGGGGAGGTGTTTCGGGCACGTCCCACCGGGAGGAGGAACCGGGGAAGACCCAGGACACGCTGGAGGGACTATGTCTCTCAGCTGGCTTGGCAACGCCTAGGGGTCCCCCCGGACGAGCTGGAGGAAGTGTGTGTGGATAGGGAAGTCTGGGCGTCTCTGCTTAGACTGCTGCCCCCGCGACCCGGCAACGGATGAAGCAGAAGAAAATGGATGGATGGATGGATGGATGGACGGTTTAAGTGTATTATATGGTATAAGTTTATTATATCTCACGGTAAATTATCAAGATCAGAAACTTTTTGTTGCCATATTTGGTGAACAAAATGTACAATCTAAAAATTAAATTATTTTCCTGGAGCTAATAAACAAATGGTATTATTAAAGATTTAACTATTATAAGTATCCTATGCAGAAATTATATTTTAATATACATAATTGTTGTTGTTATCGTCCACCGATGGAACAATACACTGGACATACAGCAGTTTTTTGTTTCCATGCATAACTGAATTTGTCATCCTGGACCTTGCGTTTTTGTTGATAATTTTGTACTATTTTTGTGTTTAAAAATATCATAAATATTTGTAACAGAAAAAAGTTAACATGGGGAGAATTCTTTAACCTTCCTGTATATAAATGTACTTTCATGTAATTTATATCCTGAATACCTTTACGTGTGTACCCATGTGTACCTTTACTGGCCACCCCTGCTCAATGTTTATTCATTTTACAAAATCCTACAGTAATTCTGGGTATCTGTGGTTTTTGAGGTGAAATATGACCGTGAGAGCGGCGGGTAATCACAGAAGTCCAGGCACAGATTAGAGCGGTGTGAAAATGCAGAGTTGCAGCCGTTCTTCCCGATGATGGTAATAAAACCAGAGCTCTAATAACAAACTGCCCGTATAAAAGCTGTTATCCACGGCACATTACTCAGCACATCGCTAAATACTACAAACTGTACGTCTTCATCAGCGTGTGGCCCGAGCAAAAAACACTTTAAGACCAATAAAACAATGTTATTCTAACGATTCTAGGATCTAAGAATTTAAGATGAATCACGAAAATACTTGAAAACAATGCTTCTTCCTGTACAGTACACACACAAACACAAAACTAGGGCAAGTGCAAAAAAGACTGTACTCTCGACTTGGTGCTTGTCCTGACTGGGTCTGGACTGGGTCTGGTCCTGGACTGGTTCTTTACAGGATTTGGTTCAGCTCTGTTTTCCTGCCAGAGAAGTGACTAACATTATAGCAACACATTGTTTACTTGTAGCAGTTAGAATATGGTCATTTTTCACAAACTGTATTTCAGTTTTATTAGCCAGTTTTAGCACGTGTTAAAAGTAGAAACCTTATGAATTAGTTTCTTTTAATAAAAATGGTGGAAATCTCTGCGAGTTGATCCAAGTGATGGGCTGATTATTTTAAATCTATACTTTTATTTTATATACAAACATTTATATCTTCCTGCGTCCTGCAGCTCAAGCCTCACAAGCCCATTTTTAACACAGTAATTCAAAACTTGCAGTAGTTCAATATCAGGCCATTGATTTATACATTTATTTTGGATCTGAATTCATGGAGAACATCAACATGACTGAGCTCGGTTTAAGTTGAAGTCTCATGATATATTCAACAATTAAATTAATCTGGCTGTTGACCAGACTATGAAAATGGAATTTATTCCTGCACAATATGCAGATTGTCAAAAGAGTTGAGGCAGCAGCAGCAGCAGTAGCAGCAGCAGTAGCAGCAGCAGTAGCAGCCGCAGTAGCAGAAGCAGCGGCGGCGGTGACAGCAGCAGCAGCAGCAGCAGCAGCAGCAGCAGCAGCAGCAACAGAAGCAGCAGCAGCAGCAGCAGCAACAGAAGCAGCAGCAGCAGCAGCAGCAGCAGCAGCAGCAGCAGCAACAGAAGCAGCAGCAGCAGCAGCAGCAGCAGCAGCAGCAGCAGCAGCAGCAGCAGCAGCAGCAGCAGCAGCAGCAGCAGTAGCAGTAGCAGCAGCAGCAGCAGCACAGAGGTGTAAAAATGGAGACCTACTTGAGCACTTTGAGTTTGCGCCTCATGGGCCAGGGCCGGGTCCTGATGTTGGCGATGATTTCCTTCTGGTGCTGAATGTTCTGGAACATCTCCTCGGGGTCGTCGCTCTCCACGCGCTCGTCTTCTTTGTCTTCATCGTCTGATGAGCTGCAACAGAACCACACGGCAGAGAGACACGTTTGAAAAGAATACATCATACACATATGTTTTTGTACAGCCCTAAATCACAACAGCTGTCGTCTGGAAGGACTTTACAAAGTTGTTGATTCACCAACAACAGATCAGAGAATCAAACAGTTTTCTGATCACAGGAACAGCAGTATTAACAAACACACAGAAGCCATTGGTCCATAGGGAGCAGGATGACCACTGTCCATAAATGGTACTACTACTGAGGTTTGATCCCTGTGTGGAGTTTTAATGTTGCTCCCTATGTCTGGGTGGGTTTCCTCTGGTCTACCCCACCGACCAAAACATGCTGGACTTATTGTACACATTTTAGTGGAAGGGGAAACTGGAGCACCTGGAGGGAACCGACGCATACTGGGGAAATGTCAATGTTGCAGCGCACATACAGGACGGTAGTAAGAGCACACAAAATATACAATATAGGTAGCTGCTAAATGCTTCAATATCAATATATCTTTATCTATCTATGACCAAAAATGTACTTCTACTATTTTGTAATAATTGAAAATGTGAAAGGAACATGCTCTTTATTAATTATTAAGTTGCAGCAGCAGCAGCGGGCGGCACGGTGGCTGAGTGGATAGCACTCTCGCCTCTCAGCAAGAAGGCCCTGGGTTCGAATCCCGGTCGGACCAGGGCCTTTCTGAGTGGAGTTTGCATGTTCTCCCCGTGTCTGCGTAGGTTTCCTCCGGGTACTCCGGTTTCCCCTACCACTAAAAATATGTCCAATAGTTCTGGCATGTGCCTCCTGTACTGGCCCCTCCCATCTCTGTGTGGAGTGAGATACAAATGCCCAAAATTAACAATTGTAAACCGCTTTGAGACTCAGATCTGCAGTGAAAAGGCGGTATATAAATAAAAACTTACTTACTTACTTACTTGTATATGATTATGAAATAGAGGTTTAGAGCACAAGGCCCATGGGGGCATAAAATAGACTTATGTATTGCTATTAACTTGCAGCATTTATAGTTTAATATTAGCTACCATGACTTGCTAATTTGATGGAAAATAGGGTCATGTAAAATAGTTGTATTTAAATTCAATTCAATCATTGGCCAATCCTTTAACTTTGGCTAGTTCTGTTCAGAAAATTCTATCTACTAGAACTCCAAACTCAGGCCAAATTAGAATATTTTGTCTAAATACCTTCATAGTGTATAAAAATCCAACAGATACAGAGATGAGCTTCAAACTCTTTTTTTACTTTTGGCCCCAGGAGAGCTCTAATCTTTTACCCCTGGTCTTCAATATATACTCCGTTTACAGATCCAAATGAAAGCAGTAAGAACAATATATGTGAAAAATTATGTGTTTGTGTTTATGATGCACTTCAAAGACCCCTAAATACATTACTACAAACAGGACTTGATGATTAGATTCAGCAGGAGACAATAATCTTGTGAGGAGGAGGAAATGCCAGACGACTTACCCCTGGTTGTTCTGATAGGAGGAGTAGAGACGCCGAGAGTTCTTCCGGACGCTCTTGTGTCTCTTTGGGGCCGTCCTGCCGCTGCCCCCCCTCACCAGCGGCTCAGACACGGAGCTCATGATCTCAGGGCTGGACTGGAGCAGGACTGAGCTGGGACTGGATCAGGAACAGACCCAAACTGAACTACAACATGAAGAGACTGAGACAAAAAACAGAGTATGAGAAAAGAACCAGATGAGGACCTAAACTGCAGCAGAAGTGGGCAAAAACTAGTCCAGGACAAAGAAGTCTATAAACATGAGTAGACCATAAGATGACTGGACCGAGACCAGAGCTAGACTATTGCCAGGACTAAAGCTGGACTTGAGAGAGGAGCAGAGAGGAGAGAGGAGGGGCTACCTGCTGCTCGGGACCCCTCTCTCATCACAGCACTAACACATCATCAGTCCAATCACTGCAGGTCCACATCTCTTAAAGGGCCAGCAACAATAGTGTGAAAGTTATTCTCCAGTCTCCTCCACATTCTGGCAGTATACCACAGATCCAGTGTGGTGTCGCTATCATAGGGTGTACAAAGTTTTGATAATCAGATACGAATCAATCCTAAAAGTATTATTTAAATACTACCAAGGCTAAATGCTATTATCAAGTATTCAAAAAAAAGTGGAAAGAAATGTGATTAGTGAAAGAGTGGGATTACCTGAGTATTTTGTGCCACCAAATGCCAAAGTAAATTTCTGGTTTGTGTTGTGACCTCCCGTTCCCAGATAATGGCAGAACAAGATTTCTGATTATATAAAATAAATCAATAACATTATTTTTTTATTGAAATGTTTGAAAAGTGAAGAGGGAGCTGAGCTGAAAGGCAACGCACTTGATTTACTGGTTATAAAAACTAACAAGAAAAATTGAGGCAACCCTCTCCATTGGTCTTTTTATGTTGTATCAACTAAAGAAGACCCAGGACACGTTGGAGGGACTTTGTCTCTCAGCTGGCCTTGGTTGCCTCTGGATTCCCCCTGGATGAACTGGAGGATGTGTGTGTGGAGAGGGAAGTCTGAGCTGCTTAGACTGCTGCCCCCGTGACCCGGCAAGGGATTCAGCGGAAGAAAATGGATGGATAGTTAGATGTTTGGATAGGAATACATTTTCCAGTTTGCCCTTTTATGGTTTAATTCAAGTATAAATAATATAGCACTAGTCAAGAATGAATAAAGAATCTCTATATCCGCTCTGTGACGGGAGCAGTTTAATGAACATGTGAAGAGAGTTGATCTCAGACTGACCATGTGTTAAACAACTCTCTCTGAACACATTCCCGTTTTAATGCGACCCATTAAAAAAGACAAATCCACAGTGTGATGTCCCTTATGTCGCTTTGGCTGCGGCCCACCGTCCCCGCACACACAAGAGCACAGACTGCACTGAGCCTTGAGACTGGACAGATGTCTCATATTTAACCAAAGTCTGACTAAAGGGACTCTGTGGACCGAAGTGAAACTGCCTGAAGTCATAGACACACAGTGTGAACATCGACATACATGTGAGAAAATATTAAGACAAGGGTCTTGCTGAAGCTTTTAGATTCAGATAAAATAGAATTTGTCACACAGTCGGAAAATGTCGGTGTTGCAGCACACATACAGGACAGTAGTCGGAGCACATGAATATAAAGATAAGTAGAATTCGAAAAATGTAAATGCTTCATCATTATCTACCTTCAGTTTGAGGGTCACTGCCCCTAGTTCACCGATCACCAGGGCACTACTGTCACCTTTAACTTTTTTTCATGCTCCAATTTCCTGATGTATACATATTCACAGCAAGATTCCACCTTCACCTTCCTCTGTGGAGTTCTCCCTGTATCTGCGCAAGTTTCCTCTGGATGCTCAAGTTCCCCCTTGCATTAAAATCATGTAGTCACACAGTGAGGACAGAAGCGAGTCTCTGAACATCTGGGTCCTTGAAGCCTCCGACCATCATTAACATTCAGACCTCTTGTACATGTTTTTAATTGTGGGGGAAACCAGAGCATACAAAGGGAACCAATTCAGACAAGACATGTAAACTCCATACAGAAAGGCCCTGCCTGGAGGGGGAATCGAACCCAGGTTCTTCTTGCTCTGAAGCACAACTGTAGTGAACATGGTATACAGTGCCTTGCGAAGGTATTCGGCCCCCTTGAACCTTTCAACATTCCACCACATTTCAGGCTTCAAACATAAAGATATAAAAAATATTTTTTTTTGTCAAGAATCAACAACAAGTGGGACACAATCGTGAAGTGGAACGAAATGTATTGGATAATTTAAATTTTTTTAACAAATAAAAAACTGAAAAGTGGGGCGTGCAATATTATTCGGCCCCCTTGCGCTAATACTTAGTAGCGCCACCTTTTGCTGCAATTACAGCTGCAAGTCGCTTGGGGTATGTCTCTATCAGTTTTGCACATCGACAGACTGGAATTCTTGCCCATTCTTCCTTGCAAAACAGCTCGAGCTCAGTGAGGTTGGATGGAGAGCATTTGTGAACAGCAGTCTTCAGCTCTTTCCACAGATTCTCGATTGGATTCAGGTCTGGACTTTGACTTGGCCATTCTAACACCTGGATACGCCTATTTGTGAACCATTCCATTGTAGATTTGGCTTTATGTTTTGGATCATTGTCCTGTTGGAAGATAAATCTCCGTCCCAGTCTCAGGTCTTTTGCAGACTCCAACAGGTTTTCTTCCAGAATGGTCCTGTATTTGGCTCCGTCCATCTTCCCATCAATTTTAGCCATCTTCCCTGTCCCTGCTGAAGAAAAGCAGGCCCAAAGCATGATGCTGCCACCATCATGTTTGACAGTGGGGATGGTGTGTTCAGGGTGATGAGCTGTGTTGCTTTTACACCAAACATATCGTTTTGCATTGTGGCCAAAAAGTTCGATTTTGGTTTCATCTGACCAGAGCACCTTCTTCCACATGTTTGGTGTGTCTCCCAGGTGGCTTGTGGCAAACTTTAAACGAGACTTTTTATGGATATCTTTGAGAAATGGCTTTCTTCTTGCCACTCTTCCATAAAGGCCAGATTTGTGCAGTGCACGACTGCACACGACTGTTGAATAATAATAATAATAATAATGGACTCAGACTTAAATTTCAATAGCCACATATCATCTGTGACATCATCAGCGTACTTCCACCTAAGAAACATTGCTAAAATTAAAAACATAGTGTCTAAAGCAGACTTGGAGATTCTTATCCATGCATTTGTCTCCAGTCGATTGGACTACTGCAATGGCTTGTTCACAGGTCTCTCTAAACAAGCGGTAAAACAGCTGCAGTACATCCAAAATGCTGCAGCTCGAGTCCTAGAACCAGGAAGTATGACCACATTAGTCCGGTCCTCAGGTCTCTGCACTGGCTTCCTGTGGCTCAGAGAATAGACTTTAAAGCAGCTTTACTTGTGTTCAAGTCTCTCCATGGCCTCGCACCGGGGTACATCCGCGACATGTTGGTGCCATATGAACCAACTCGGGCTCTGAGGAGCACAGGGACTGGACTTCTGTTAGTGCCAAGAGTCGGAACTAGACATGGGGAGGCTGCGTTTCAGATTCATGCAGCTAGAGTCTGGAACCGTCTTCCCGAGAATGTGAGACAGGCGTCTACTCTAGCAGTTTTTAAAACTTAACTGAAAACAGTTATTTTTAGCTGTGCATACAAGTGAATGATTTTATATTTGTTTTTATCTTTAATCTTTTTAATGCGCTATGACTATTTATGATTGTAATCCCTTGTGTGATTTTAATGTTTTATGGTTTTTAACTACTTGTGTGATTTTATATATCTTGTGCTCTTAATCTGTTTTTTTATGTTTACTTAAATTCTAATGTTTGATGATTTATGCATGATGTTATATGGGTTGTGAGGCGCTTTGCGTTGCCTTGTGTAGGAAAGGCGCTCTACAAATAAACGTTGATTGATTGATTGATTGACTGATTGTTGTCCTATGGACAGACTCTCCCACCTCAGCTGTAGTTATCTGCAGTTCATCCAGAGTGATCATGGGCCTCTTGGCTGCATCTCTGATTAGTCTTCTCCTTGTTTGAGATGAAAGTTGGGAGGGACGGCCGGGTCTTGGTAGATTTGCAGTGGTCTGATACTCCTTCCATTTCAATATAATTGCTTGCACTGTGCTCCTTGAGATGTTTAAAGCTTGGGAAATCTTTTTGTAACCAAATTTGGCTTTAAACTTCTCCACAACAGTATCTCGGACCTGCCTGGTGTGTTCCTTTGTTTTCATGGTTCTCTCTGCGCTTTAAACAGAACCCTGAGACTATCAAAGAGCAGGTGCATTTATACGGAGACTTGATTACACACAGGTGCATTCTATTTATCATCATCAGTCATTTAGGACAACATTGGATCATTCAAAGATCCTCACTGAACTTCTGCAGTGAGTTTGCTGCACTGAAAGTAAAGGGGCCGAATAATATTGCACACCCCACTTTTCAGTTTTTTATTTGTTAAAAAAGTTTAAATTATCCAATACAATTCGTTCCACTTCACGATTGTGTCCCACTTGTTGTTGATTCAAGGGGGGCGAATACTTTTCGTATATTATTGCTGTTGCTGTATAACTACAGCAAAGATATTGATATTGGGCTTGGTCCATCCAGAAGATATGCTCATGGGAAAGAGAGATGTTTAATGGTTTTGAATAATATTGAATAGATATAAATGTCCTACGCAGAATACAAAAATACATCTTTAACATGCATTTTCTGTAAGTCACACAGTTTTATGTCAGCTCAAATCCCCAGAGAGAAGAATCCAATGGTAAATACATTTTCGGTGTAAAAGTGATACGACAGCAGCGATTCAGCATCCCATTACCTCGACAAATCTGATTGTGTGCTGTTTGCGTCTGCCATTTTGCGTGTTAGAAAATGTGAGATGTTTTCAAAGAGAGCAGATTGTTGTGGGCCAAAAGAAAGAAATTATTTCAGCCCTTATATCACCAGTCAATATCATTACTACATTGTTTGTCAGGCCAGTATAGTTGTGGTTCCTAAACCTTTATGCCTCGACATGCTGTTATACTAAGGTCTTCAGCTTTCTTTATGGAATGTGTGTTTATAACTAATCTTTTGCAGTTAATTTTAATTTTATGTTGTTACATTTTGTAGGAGAACAGACTACATGTTTGCTTGTATTTAACTTGACTTTGTAGATTTCAACAAAATGGTTGGTGGTGGTCAGAGTATGATGGCACATACTTGTTGTTTTGCTTCTGTCAGTGTGCCCCAGGGCAGCTGTGGCTACACCACCGTGTATGAATAATGAAGCATCTTTGAGAGTCCGATAAAGTGCTTTATAAAACTGATGCATTATTATATTGTCATTTATCTGGTCATATAATTTAGGCTTTAAAGGTATGATCATACATCTTAAAATGATTGCAGTATTTGCCTGTTCATGTCTCACCAGAAGCCCCTGAGGAGACTCAAGACACGCTGAATAGAAGTTTTAGATACAGTACATTGTATGGGTGCTACATTAGAGCCTAAATTTAGAACCAAAAGGTCAATTTATAAACAATATTTAAATCGTCTGATTGTGTGTCTAAGATTGTTCCCCTCATAAGTGCTTGCTGTCTCAGGTTTGCCATACAAATCTTGGTGCCTGAAGTGCCTCTTCTCAAAGGTGACACTAATGCAGCTGCATCATTTATGAGGAACACAATTAGAGTGGTAAACCTTGCTCCGAACAAAGGGAACGAGATGGAGCTGTGATCAAAACACAGCCATAAAAATAAAATCAATGAAATGTACAGTAGGATTATTAATCAATGAGCCGAGAGAGTGGAATAGCAGCACAACCTCCTCATGGGCCTGACATTTATCTCACCTGGATTCACTGCATTACCCACAGACCTTCCTATGTCAGTAGTACCCATAGACTGTAGTACCACTCACATATCTACTGCAGTGTTTTTCAACCACTGTGCCGCGGCACACTAGTGTGCCGTATGATATTGTCTGGTGTGCAGTGAGAAAATCGTCTACTTTGTCTAAAAATAACTGCATTCGCTGTTGACGAGCGGTGACTTGTTTTGAACTGTGGAGTAACCATGTAATACTTTTTCAAATCAGTAGATGGCAGCAGATAGGTAAGTACTTTGAAACTGAAAAATTGGATGCGACCACTGGCTGTAACAGGTCAGCATTGTGGCGAGAAAGGTCAAATTGGATGCGACCAACAAATGTGGGAGGGAGCGAGACAAGAGCTTTGTGGCGAGTGAGAAGTGAAAGTGATAGAGACGTTTTTGAAAATGAATTATGCCGTTTCTGAACAGGATTAACATCCTCTGCTCTGCCCCGGGGCAGCTGTGGCCGCGTTGTAGTGGTTTAACTATGAAATGTACAATTTTTGTACAACAGCTCTCGCGAACGCACTTCTGAACTGGGTACTGAGCGCAGACCATAGTCGAGTGGACAGAACCATAGACATGCGGACCGGACAGAACCATGGACTCGCGTTCAGGACCTCCCGTGTCCCTCATCCAAAACTCCTGAATTTAAAGCTCGGATACCGACATTTTTCCCATGCACTAACAATGCATGTTCTTTGTGTGAGTTATTATTTGACTATTTGGGCAGAGAGTGGATTTTCTTAGTTTTTTTCCACACAGTTAGTGCCACACTTTATTCCCAAACTCTTGTTAATTGTATCGAGAAATATTAAATAAAGCTTAATTTCAAGGCCTAGACTTAAGCATTTTGATGAGAATAACTGTATATTGTGAATATAGGCTACAGAGTATACTGTATACATTATAAGATAAGATAAGATATACTTTATATATCACACAGAGTTTGTACAGTATATATTTTTTTACATTAGTACTGTATACATTTTTACATTTTCTCCTGGAGGTGTGCCGCAAGATTTTTTCAGTGAAAAAAGTGTGCCTTGGCTCAAAAAAGGTTGAAAAACACTGGTGGATGCAGGTTTTAGTTCCAGGCCGTGCAGTAGCGCCAGACTCCACCCATTTCCTCAGGTGAGTCCAGTTTAACCTGAGGATTTGAAGTGGGTGGAGTCTCCTGTGCTCCTGCTCAGGTTGGAACGAAAACCTGCATCCACACGGACTCTTTCTGGAACCGGTTTGACTCTTCAACTCCCCAAAGGATTTAGAATTTTAAAAAATGATCTTGAATTAATACATTTTGGTTCAGTATAAATATAGGGTTTTTTCAGTATTACGGTATATTCATGTGTTCTATGTTTTGTCGCAATTATTATCTTTTTACTAAGACTGTTAAAAGGAGTAGCTCTCTGCCTCTTTAGGTGCATAAAAGTAGCTCTTAAATTGAGAAAGGTTATAGACCCCTGCTGTAGAAGGTCTGTGCATGGGCCCTGACCCCAGTCTCTCTCGGCCTTCTCCAGAAACGTATCTCGTCTTGTGTTGATTGAATTATCTCCGGGACAGAGCAGAAATAAACAGTCTCTTCCTCCTGACGGATTAAAGTGTCGTTTCCAATGGCGTACATCATGTGGCCATAGGTTGAACACAGAGTTCCCTGTGGCTTTTGAAACATCCTCCAAATGGTCTAGATTTCTGGGAAAGCAGCCTGGTTTTCAATGAGTTAAGAAGCTTCATTATTGACAGACAGTGATGGGAATAACAGCGTTACTTTTTTCAGTAACGAGTAATCTAACTTACTATATATATGTTTATCTGATTGGGCTGAAGTCAGTGCTTCACTGGTGTTTCCACATTCACAGTGGAGCATGTTGGTGTTTAGTGCTTACACAGAGAGAGATGGAGAGTGAACAGGACTTCAGCAGAAAAACAGACTTTTCTAGATGGAAATATTGGAACTATTTCAGACTCACTGAGGTTAAAGGTCAACATGCGCACCTCGAGTGCACATTATGTTCCAGAACAAAACGAAAAAGTAACGCAGTAGTTACTTTTACTGGTAACTAGTTACTTTTATAGTGGAGTAACTCCGTTAGTAACTCAGTTACTTTTTGGGAGAAGTAACTAGTAACTATAACTAATTACTTTTTCAAAGTAACGTGCCCAACACTGGAGACAGATAGATATAGATAGATTCTTTATTGATCCCCGCTGGAGAAGCTCAGGAGTCCAGTCACAGCAGAACAAATAAATATATCATTGTAAAAATAGTTAATAATAGTATTAAAATGCAACAACACTTTAGGTCACAGCAGAAGTGGAGCAGCCGCTTGGTTCGGATCATTTTCTTTGCTCTGGTCTAAAGTAAAATTTAGCATTCCTCCAGTGGATATTCACCTGATCCACTTGGTTCGAACCATGAATCCTCTCTGCTCTGGTCTGGACCAGTGTAAAACCATGAATCCCCTCTGCTCTGGTCTGGACCAGTGTAAAACCATGAATCCTCTCTGCTCTGGTCTGGACCAGTGTAAAACCATGAACACTGAACTGCAGCAACATCTCAGGCAGAAAAAAGCATCAAAGATGACAATTGTAAAACACAAAACAGCAGCTGTTTGAGACTCAGGACTTTCTGCAGTTTCCAGAACATTCTAAAGTGTTTTCTGAGTTATAGAAAGACTTTGTGTCTGACAGATTCTGGAGGAAAAGAAGAAGGTTCAGTGTCCAAACTTCTACAGCTCCGACAACCCAGTGAAAGGTACGACTGCTGCAGCTTTGATCCAGTAGGACTCGGTCTAAACTAAACCTCATTTCTCCTTTTCTCCTGGCTCCTCCCCTTTTCTCCTGGTTCCTCCCCTTTTCTCCTGGTTCCTCCTCTTTCCTTCTCCTTCCTCCTGGTTCCTCCTGGTTCCTCCCCTTTCCTCCTCTTTCCTTCTCCTTCCTCCTGGTTCCTCCCCTTTCCTCCTCTTTCCTTCTCCTTCCTCCTGGTTCCTCCCCTTCCCTCCTCTTTCCTTCCCTTTTGTCCCCTTTCGTCCCGGTTCCTCCTCTTTCCTCCCGTTTCTTCCTGGTTCCTCTTTTCTCTCCTTTCCTCTCTCCTCCTGATTTCTCCCGGTTCCTACTGGTTCCTCCTGGTTCCTCCTGGTTCCTCCTCTTTCCTCCTGGCTCCTCCTTGTTCCTCTTCTTTCCTCCTGGTTCCTCCTGGTTCCTCCTGGTTCCTCCTGGTTCCTCCCGGTTCCTCCTGGCTCCTCCTGGTTCCTCCTGGTTCCTCCCGGTTCCTCCTGGCTCCTCCTGGTTCCTCCTGGTTCCTCCTCTAGTCCTGGACGTTCTGTGGCTCCGGACCTTCGTGTTCGCCGTGGTCTACGCTGCTGCAGACGGTTCACCGGAGACTCCTCCTGATCTCGTGGTGGTTTTGCTGCCTGTGAGTTTGTCGTTGTTGTAACAGACCTCGGCAGAGTCTACAACGTTCTGCAAAATGTTGGAAAATACTCAATTCTTTGCTATTTTTCCAGAAAAAGGATGAAAAGGTTGAAACCAAATACCTGAACTTCAGCGACCCGGTGTACGGCAGCTGCACCGAGAGGCAGCTTCACTACTTCCTGACTCAGATAGAAGACTGGTGAGTGTGGACAGAAGTACTACAAGTATTAAAAGTACTACATACAACAGACAGAAGTACTACAAGTGTTAAAAGTACTACATACAACCGACAGAAGTACTAGGACTGAGCGATAAAACGATAAAGGTATAAATCGCAATAGACACGTGTTCGATATCAATAGAAAATGGGGTCGATAGAATGTTTGATAGTTTCACTTTAGTTAGAAAAAAAACAGGAATCCTGGGGGACGTAGGCAGAGGCGTCTCGACCTATCACGGCCGAGCATGAACCGCAAGGCGCATTCTGGGAAATGCAACAAAAAAAGGACAAACTCCAATCAACAAGTGGACCCTGCGTTACGTTCGTGGATCTAAAGTTTTCATGTTTCAATGGCGTGTCGGTGGTGATACACGTCTGTGTGAGGATTAGCATGTGCGGCAGAGACAAACACATGAGGCTATCAGAGAGACGCAACGTGGTCACGGGGACACAAGCGCGCAGCCAGAGACACTGAAAATAATAATCGTGAACATATGCCTCCAGCCGATAACTCGGGCTGGAGGCATATGTTCACAAGCACAGTGTGACTAAATATGCCCTGCTAACATGTGTTAGCCTACACAAAAAATGTATTTATTTAGGTTTTTAAAAAAACAATCAATAATTATTGATTGCCCAGCCCTAATAAGTACTGTAAGTATTAAAAGTATTATTAAAAATACAACTGTTCCTCTTGTTTGCACAGGGAGCTGTTTTTTGCAGCTTCAGCAGCGTCTCTCGAAGTCTGTCCCATCGCTCGACAAGACGACAAGGTAAAAGTCTGTCCTTCTTCACATGAGGCGTGTATCGTATTTTCTGGAATAATCCTGGAATAATCCTTTTTAGAAAGAACCATAAAACGATTTACTATATGAGATATTTACACAAAGATATTATAAGTGAGGACTTTAAAACATTTAATTTGCTGGATTGATATATCTCTGTGAACCACTCTGTGGGTCTACTGTTACTCCAAGCCAAATGGGACGTGTACATTTCTCCAGTGTGGTT